ACTCGCGCCTACCCAGCACCACCACCCCTGTCGAGACGAGTTTTGTCACAGCCCATCATCGTCCGATATCACAAAACCCGTGTCCCTCTTTTTTCTTCCTCGCCTTCTCTTACCATCTCAACTCCTCGTCTCACGATCACCACCCAAGTACACCTCCCATACCTATACCACCAAACAACCACCAATACCATACAACGAACCCACGGCCTCAAGCAAGACGCACCCAACGCACGAACCCGCACACGCACGCCAAGAGATCTGCACGCTCATACACACCTTTTCGGTCATTCTCTCTTAACACACCGACATCCCACATTCGTCCTCCCAAAAGTCTAATCCTTTCCACACACCATCACCTACATCACACCTCTTCCGTGTGTTGCTCGTATCCCGGACAGCAGAAGCTGCACCTCGCCTCTCTCTTTTTACCTACCGAGCGCCCCGCCCGCACTCGTGTCTGCTAGTCCAGCTGGTCTGATCCAAAAACCTTGCCTTCGCTATACATATTTTTCTGCCGACCTGCCGGTACATACTTCCCCAACACCACTCTTTCACCAACCAAGACGACTAGTCGCTAGCTCGACGTCCGTAACAACACCAACTCCACGATCACTCGGAGAATAGGAGGATTCAGGAAATCAAAAGGGAAGAAGAAAAACAAGAAAGCGGGATATCAGAAAGAGAGTGGAATTTGGGAAACGCCAACCAAACCCGGTCCGATTCGCGCGAACGCAAAGGCAGCTATTTTGAGCCGCCTTTTTTGTTTAATACGGCCTCTCCTCGAACACCAGCAACCGACGACGACAAGATGAAGGTCTCACTCGCGATCCTGACGACGCTGTGCGCGTCACTCGCCTCCGCAGGCGTGGTCATCACCCCCGTCCGTCAAAATCAGATTGTGCCTGCGGCACAAAAGGTCTCGGGCGACTGCTTCTTCGGCGTTGTGACGCCTCAAGGTTGCGCGTAAGTCTTCAGTCTCAACGATCTTTACAGGATCCATAGCTAACATGATATATCAGTCCTTTGAGAACGTGAGCCTGGCTTTACCATGCAAAGCGTCGAACGTATCATCATGAGCGATGAGAGGAAACGGCGGGAAAGAGACAGGCCGGAGCTCGTCGGGAGCAAGTCAACCCCAACGCAAGTTGTTGCCTCATTATTCACGCCAATCTGGGCGGGCTTGTGAGCATCCTTTGCTCCGACGATTCCGATGAACCGCCTCACTCCCGGCCACGCCTCTCCTTTCTCCACGGCCAATATTCACGAAGGAGAGGATCACGACGCCATAGGACTCGTCGTCTGTACCATTTACGACTTATTACATATGTGACCGGTTCACAACAAGCATCCATCAGCATCAGCGGTTGTTATTTCAGGCGGAAACTATTTGAGCATTTTCATCAGAACGACGATGACTGGACGACATGAGCGAGTGAGAGACTCGGTGGCAGAGACACAGGAGGACGTCGTCAGTGGACCTTACAGCGGAGGATTATGGTCACCCCCAAAACTAATGTTAGCATCCAAGACTTTGCGTCTGTCTGTTTTTGCTCGTGTTGTGGTTGTGCTTCCCCTACGGACCTCCGCGGGGTGGAAGCGCCGGCAGCACAGCAGCAGCAGCGCAGTCTTGGCATCTTCTTCACCAAATTTCTCTTCTTATTCCCCCTCCAATTTTTTACCATATACTAGATCACCCTTTTCCCACTACAAAGAATTTCAAAAAATATTGGATATTATCACCCGTTCCCCCTTCGTTGATGATGCGACTAACCAACTGGCCTGGGACTGTCAACTAACCGAGAAGCTCACCCCCACCAACAACACACCAATGAATCTAAGCGAACGCGGATGATACTCACGCCAGACAAGCCATGGCGCCCATCAAACAACAGCAAACCGGAGGCGTTACGCCACTCTGTAGCAACAACGCCCTCCGGAGTCCCCAAATTCCCCCTCCCCTCTCACCGCGACAAAAAACGACGTCCATCCACCCCTGTCAGGTCCCCTCAAGTCCATCACGGCATATACGTTTTAGACTTCCGCGTGCCTGAAATGCAAAAAACCCAAGCCGCAAAAGCTGATACGCGAAACCACCTCAGATTCTCAGAATCCGAGACCAAATCCCCAATCCCCCGCCCGTGCCTCGGTTTCGTCCCGACTTGGCCGTGTTCCAGATCCCCCAATCCGTCACTCTTCCCCCCCTCTTTGTCTCTGTCTTCCCCCCAATGCTCCACCCAGCCAGCGGCAACCGTTGTAACCTTCCACACCATAAAGCCCATGTAATTAATACCTTACCCTACCTTGACTCTACTGCGGCACTGCGGTACCATGCCAATACGTGGGCCGCAAAAACCTTAACTCTCAACTCAAAAAGCCCAAACTTAACCACTCACCTGTGTGACCTGTGACCTATGACCTCGCACCCTCGAGCACCCACACAGACGGGTACGGAGAAAAGGTACCGCAACTCGCTCTTTTCCCACCGAGGGCTTGGCTTACGTATCTGCGTCTACGTGCGCGTACCTGGTTGTCGACCTGGACACCTGGGCCTCGCGCTCTCTCGTGCCCCTCGGTCCCGAGACAACTCGACACCCACACGACCACTTGCCCACGCGTCAGATGCGCAGAAAATAGAAACATGCCCTCCCGATCGAGGCCTTTTATTCGCTTGTCACACTTCTTTGGGATTTCATTTCATCGACTACCAGATGAGGAAGCAAAGTGTAAAAACTGAATTTCGTTTCTTAGGGTATAATGGTTTCTGTCAGTCTCTCGTCAACGAAACATACGCCGCCCATGCCATCTGAAATGCCTCTCTCTCTCTCTCTCTGTCTGATAGTAAAGGAACCCTCCACAACACATGTAATCAATGAAGCAGTAGCCGCCGTCACTCAGCATTTGAGGGGGTACTTGGCGGCACGATCGGCCTTCATTGCACCCCAGTGAGTCTCGGGTGCCTCGCTGCCATCCTCGCCAATGGCATGCGGCTTCCAGGGCTCGTCAAAGGCCTCGAAGAAGAACACGTTGAAACCCCAGTTGACCATTCCGCAGACACCAGAGTCGTAGAAAGCCTGAGCGTTGTCCTGTCCCGGGATCGCCTGCTGGTAATTCGCACCTTCACTGGGCCAACCTAGTTTCAGTCGAACATGTCAGCAAGCTGTTTACGATGACCGCGTAGAATCATTTGGTATGGCGATCAGTGCTCAAAATGTATGACACAAGTGATAAAGACCAACTAGAAAGCAACTACCAAGATCGGAGTGCTGAGTAAAGAAATCCGACTTACCCGTCTCGCCAACCCACAGCTCAGGCTTGTTGAGCGATCCGCTAACGCTCTGGATGCGTCCAAACGCCTGCATGATGGAGTCGAAGAAGCAGGCAGTGGCATTGTCGCGCGTTTGACCCTGCCAGTAGGAAAAGGCATTGGTGAGGAGAATGTCGGCGTTCTTGATGACGGCATCGGCCGTGCCGTCCTGGTACTTGTTCCAGCTGTCCGCGGTGCCGATCTTGAAGAGCGGCGCCGCCTTCTTCATGTCCTTGATTTTGTCCGCCAGTTCGGCGCCGGTGAAGTTGCCGCGGTACATGGACTCGGATCCGACAGTGATGGCATAGACTTGGTCCTCGTAGCCGGGGGTGTGCTTCAGGATAGCGGCCTTGTCGGCGGCGTACGTCTCTTCGGTATCGGGCCTGTCCGAGTCAGCGGGTACACTTTCCCAATTAAACTTCACTCGATTTGGGGTAAAAGTGCAGTCTATCGCCGGACAACGTTGGCTTACCAAATGCCCAGGATCACCTGGAATTCCTCCTTCTTGGCCGCAGGAAGAATGTTCTGAGCCGTGTCGCACTGGTCGGCGGCATAGATGCGGACGATGCTGCTTCCCGAAGCATCTCGGATGGCTCTGAAGTCCGCTTCGTAGTCTGCCTGATACTTGCACTGCCCGTCAGGCTGCTTCGAACCGAGAGCGAAGCCCAGAGATCCGAATGCGAGGGCTAGGCCAGGGGCAGCGGCCAGAAAGGCCGCAACGACTGAGGTGTAGCGCATATTGGCGGTCGGTCTTTTAGTGCTTGCAAGTAGGTACTTGAGGTGGGAACAGGTGTAGCAAGAATAAAGAGATAGGAAGAGGATATGGACGTGAGTAGGTGTCAAAGGGTGATGCGAGAAAAGGGTGACTTGGTCAATCAGCAAAGGAGATGGTGGTCGGAGAAAAAGAGGCTGCCAAAGATCCACATGCGTTTGCAATTAATTCTCGTCAATTGTGACTCTTGGAAGGCAAGTGAGGGTATTCACCACCAGTTTGGGAAGGAGGCTTCCTGCCAAATGCTGCATGTCCAAATTGGGCAAGAACGGGATGCAGGCAGGGTCCAACCTTGACATCCCGCACCTCCCTTACAACTCGGGACGAACCAGCAGCTTACAAAAATGCACTGATCACCTTCCCTTTCTGGAACTATCTAATTCTGTCAGATCTTGGCAGCTCTGCGATTGTTGTCGTTCCTGACAATGTTGGCACCTGTGTTCCCCGATTGATACCGCAACCCCTGGACATTATTGCTGTCATGGAAATGCCTTCAATCACGTTTCCATAAAGCTCTTTTTTTTCTTTCCCTCTTTTTGCTCGTCGAGATCACTGGTGACAGATCCTACCTAAGCTAACTATGTCAACACCACTTGCTGTCATCTACAGTGCCTCTCTGCAGAGATGTATCCAGCCATTCTTTGCCTCAAATCGGGCCTCAAACACATTCTACAAATCACATCACAGTTGAGAAACACAAATGTCGTGAAATAATCTAGAAACCCCTATTGGGTTTCGGTTGTTCATTAATCAATAACAGAAACTATATAGTCCCGTGGCCAGGGAAAGAGGGTATAAAGCGATCCGCCATGTACAGGAGGTTCGATTCGTCGTCGTCTATTCGCCAATGCGGGAACCATCTTGGTCCCGCCCCGACTCCCGATTCATGCAGTGATATTCAGCCGTTCAATTACGTATGCGGATTTAGAGGAAGGACATGAAAGCCTGTACACCAACCAAAGCACCGGCCGCAAGCCAGAAGTTGATGGACGTTGAGTGACCAGCAGCGTTGCCAGTGCCAGTGCCAGTCGGACTGCTACCACTGGGGGTTGTGGAGGTAGAACACTCGCCAGTAAACTTTGCCGCCGCATTCGCGCCGAGGGGAATCTTCTGAAGGTTCGAACCACAGTTGTTGTAGGGGGCAAAGTGGAGGGCAGGTGTCTCCTGGTCGAAAACGACATAAGTCGAGCGGAGGAACGAGTCACCGAGCAGGTACGAGCCGTCGGTCGCCTTGTCCGCTCCGAGGACACATTGGCTGTTGCCAACGTTCCAGATGAACTCCTGGATAGGCACCTTCATAGTGTAGTCGCCAAACTTGAAGTCGATGGTGCCTGTGGTGCTGCATGGGACCACATACATGTTAACGGATGAGTCAAGCGTGCCCTTCAGGTCAGCTCCGAGTGAGTCGACCACAGCTGAAGGCAGATAGCTCAGGGTGGCGCCAGTGTCGAAGAAGACGGGGAACTGCGAGTTGGAGTATGTCTTGGAGCTGCTTCCCGACACGCTCAAGCCCACAGAGTCAAGCTGAACCCAGTACCTAGCAGACTTGTTAGTCATTGCCACAGAGGCAGGAAAATTCAACTACTCACCTCCACAAGTTCTCGTTGTTCTGGGGTCCAAGGATCGGCGCCGAGTGCAGGTTGCCACTGAACTTCTTCGTGTCGACACCGCCAAAGGAGATGAGGCCGCTACCCGTCTTCTCGTCCTTGGTACCGAGCGCAATGCCAATAGTGAGAGACTCGACAATGTTCTGAGCCTTCATCTCGTCAAGAACGGTCGGGTAACCGGTGTTGTTCTTCGCCTCGCCGAAACTGAGACCGAGGATACCTCTGTTGAGGTCAACACTATCAGTGGCGTAGCCAAAAATTGTTTCTCTAAGCGCGATGTCTGTATAATGCGATTAGTCGAGGTGGTCAGACCAAAAGCAAGGTAGCACATACCGCTGCCGGGAAGCGTGATGTTATCGCTGACATATTGCAGAACGACCTCTCCCTTGCCATACTTTATACGGCCCGTCTGGTCATAAACGGACGAAGTCGAAGAGTCTCGGGGGTCATATTGGCCATTAGCTCTGCAAGATTGTGTCTGTGCGGTGCTGCCAGCGTTGGCGCAGTTGGGGTTGACCCAGAGTTCGGAGGAACCAGTATCAATGGCAACCTTGGTGTCCTGACCGGGTGTACCGATGTTCACTATGAACAATAATTAGCAACGGTGATTGGCTTGCAAGCGCCTAGGGTAGTGCATACGCTCAATCAAGTACGTAGTTGTCGTCACATTGAGGACTGGGGCGTCTGTGTCCGAGACCTGTCTTCTGCGCAGCTTCTCCAAAGGGTGCAGTCTGACGTCTTGATAGATGGGCAGAGAAATGGAACCGACACCGCTGGAGGACTGTGCGTCGTCGCGACGAGCCGACAGAGCGGATGCGCTTGCCGCGAGGGCGGCAAGAGGCAGGTTGCGAGCGACCATGATGATATTCGGGTTCTATTCGGTTTTCGGGGTTCCGGGTGATTCTTGTCGGAGTGGTTTACGTCTAGTAGTGTGACGTCGAGGACGATGTCTAAGAAATGCCGGCGAAAGTTTGTCGATGCAGATATGCAAATGCAGGATTCCAAGCCACGAGAACCGAATTCGATAGAGTTCCCAAAACACGAAAAGCTGGTGACAAGGGAGACGATGACGGCGACTAAAGGGGGGGGGGGTCCCAAAGAGGTGGGATCGCAATGCTTTTAAGGACTGAGGGTGGTGGTGCCTTGGCAGATTGGTTGCCCAGACTCGTAGCGTGGATTGGGAAAGGAGAGGCCAAGGAAGGCGTGGAGTACGCGAGCTGTGTTTGTCTAGGCGCCTGCATCACCGAGAGAGACTGCCCCCGGGCAGGGAAGAAGGCACAGAGGGCTACCGACCGGGGGAGCAGTACCTTAGTGAATGCAGCTGCGTTGGTGACCTCACTGAATTGGGCAAGGAAGGCGGGAGAGTGGCACTGCACTGCGCTGCACTGTGTGGGCGTATTGCCGTCATTGCTGACCACGTACTTTTCTGGTGGTGGGGCCTGCGAAAGAGTACCTTCAAATTCGTCCAAAGCTGGCGCGGGAAGGAGCTTTCTTGAGGCTGAGCTCAGCCGAACGCTGCTGAGATGCTGAGACCTCCAGCAGGCTCAGCAGGCATTGCCATGCTCACACGCCAGGCAACTGCCAGCCACACGAAGCTTCCATTCGTCGGTTCCTGGGGAACTATGGGGACGTGCTTCCACTCAGTCCCTTTGATTGGTCTCAATTTCCAGATGATGGGTTGAAGCAGCAAGCCCAGTCCCTGAATACTATGTATCGCTCCTTCTTCCTTCCCAGGATTGGAAATCCCAAGGGTTTGGCAACAATTGACTGTTGGCCACAAAATGGGAAGGGAAAGAAAGCGACAGCCTTTTTCGGGTAGTGCCTGCATCATCCCCCGCGAAAGCAATGACCGACGACCGGGATGTCGCCAGCATCGTCCGCACTCTATTATTGAGGCAGGTTCATCCTCTTTACTCTCTACCTGCACAGGCACTTCACATAATCAAGGTATGACCTACTCATCGTCACCACTTGCTCTCAGAATTTTGACCATGACAGATAATGCTTCCCGCGAGACACCAGCAGAGGATCCAGGCGACGCTTCCGATTACAAACAGGCGCGAGCAAGCAGCCCAGACGTGGCAACGGAAGCAACGGCCGTGCACAGCCCCCCTCTTCGAAGGCGCCGGCTTTCGGCACGACCACATTGAAGCTCCCGGTGGATGGATGACTGACTATTCAATGGCCCAATGCACAGCACAAACCTTGGCCCCATTCCCATAGCTGTCTGCCTGGCACTGCCTGGGCATGCTCAGCGTGTCAGAGTAATACTGGCCCCTCGTCAAACAGTTCCTCTTGCTAACCATCGATTGGTGTTTGGCCTCTCTCAGCTGCCACCACTACAGCGCTCCCATCGATACACGTGTGGCTGGTCCACCATCAGCACGCCCAGCCTCTTCCTGATCGGACGTCGTGGCAGGAGGACTACGATGACCTTCACACACCCTCTCTTTGCAGCAACCGCCCTCGACCCTCTTTCTTTGGAAACTCGCTTGTAAAACCATCTTTCGAGGCCAAGGCCAAGAGCTGGCCGCTGTCGCGCGATTCACACCAACATTATTTCATTCCTCGGTTTGCACAGGCCATTCAGGGGCCCGTCCGCGCCGTCACCTCATCTCTCCCCGTAGTCCCTCGCCAACGTATCCGAACGAATATGTAAATTCGGAGGGTTCCCTTGGCATCTCTTTTCTCGAAACTGCACAAAGGCCATGGCAACTACGCCGCCACGCCGCTATCCGTCTCGGCCGATTTACCAGTCGCTAGTCTGCCGCAACCACATGCACATTTGTCTTTGACATCAACACCATCCAAGGCTCGGCCGCTATTCATCAGTCTTGGCTGTCGTGACATCGAAGCAAACGACCTCTGTTGGCTTGCAGTGGCACACCTCCTCACCCTTGGGGGCTGCAGCTTCCGTCGGGATTTAACCGGGCAATAAAGGAATGAGGCGATCGACGTCGTTACAAGGACTTGAAGCCAGCCTGCCGCCGCGACTCGGACAAGCCTCCATCCGCCGCCCCTCAAGCCACCGCGCTGTCTCTCACTAGCGTAGGCGGTTTCCGCCGGCAAGCCAATCGATGACGCTCAAAAACTGAAGGGAAAACGGACGAGACCACAGGCTCTGCCTACGCTATTGCTACCACGATCCCGGACACAGATCTTGGCACCCGTGGTTTACCTATTGATTTTCCAATAGTCTTGCACTTCACTCACCGGGCCACCGCGTGACTCTCAGTCTCAGCGCATCCGATGCCAGAGCCTGATCGTTAAGCTGCAGGGGCGCAGATCTCCCTCGGAATGGAACCCGCTGTGGAGAAACCAAAGATTCCGATTTTCCCAGCCCCATCATGGCTCGCCTGGCTTGCTCTGCTGATTCGGCACCGCAAACGCAAAGCGGGAACCGCTCGACCCAGGAGGCTTTCGGGCCTTCGGCTTCCCCATCTTCACGAAATCATGCTTCTTTCACTCGCGCGGACCCATCCCGACCCTACGGCAAAATCTGGCACTGTACGCTTATTCGGGATTCTCGGGCACCAGGGCCCAGTCAGTTTCTTCGCACTAGCTCTCAGCCCTGAGGCAGAACTGCCAGATACGAACGAGTTAGCTGATTGCCTTTCCAGATCCTTCAAGATTGTGGTTACGCCGTGCAGCTAGCTGAGTTCTAGTGAGACCGCCAGGCAGACTACGACAGCCTCATCCGCTATCCTCCCGCACCTTAATGCACTTCGCAGCCTTCTTTGCGGTAACTCCGCACCGTTCTGTCCCTGGTGTCCATACTTGAGAAAATCTGCTAGCTGATTGCACGAGTAAGGCCAAGTGGAAAGCAAATGGCTACCTTGACTGTTTGGTAGTCTTTCCTACAGCTAGCATAGCCCCTCGCAATCCTTCACCCAGTTTAGACCTCAAAGTCTATCCAAGATCTACAACCGGACCCCTGAACTCATGGCTGACAAATATGTTGTTTAACCTTAATTGTGACGTTGTCACACCCGCAACCTGTCGCAAGCGCATTCTACCGTCACTCCATTCTGGTTCGGGTCCCGCTGGTAACCAACTTCGCCTTCTCGGGTACTTCGACTTGGCATTTGTTCTCTTCGGTATTCAGCCGCAGCAGCCTGATGGCAGGATAATCGTTTTGACCTTACAGAATCATGTTCTAGAGCCTTTGCAGCTCCGTATCCTACGCAGAGTATTGTGCTAGTGAACCCGTCTATTCACTACATCGCAATGGAAGGTGAAGTGGGAGAAAGTCATCGGCCAAAGTATCCCACTGAAATGGCACAAGAGGAATCATTGTCAAAGACCGTTGCAACCCCATTCACCCGCAAATACGACACTCGGCTCGTTATAACGGCTGAGGCTAGGTTGTCTCGCAAGGGAATTAACCAGGCTAGCTTCTCTGATTAGAACATTCAGCTGCCCCTCATTTTAGCCTGCCATAGAATTGCTGCGCCGAAGCCACCAATGTGGAAATATTTGTGCCACGGCCCTGTAATACCTCATGGCTCGTAGTCTACGCCCGAAATAAAGGCTTCCGATGCGTGTTGCCACACCCTTGACAGCTCAATAATTGAGGCGAAAGCCGATTGGCGATTTTAAGTGGTGGTGGGCTTTCTCTCGAGTCTCTATCATGTCTTCTCTTCTTGGTGATCGTGTTTCCTCTCTTCCCCTCTTTCACTCCCAAGAAAGGCCATCACATGGTCATGTTGCCGTTCCCGCGATCTGTGACGGACCCTGTACTGATGTCTTGTTCTGCTGTCATCACATTCAGCCAAACCGCAACTGAACATAACTAAATCCCCGCAGGACACTTCTGCTCTTCGCCAAAGGACGTAATCACAAAAACAGAAGCATCCACGACAGCCCTCTGGTGCACCAATCCCTCCTTCAGGGTCTAATGAGGCACGTCCTTCGATATCAGGTCCTCGTCAGGCGCTTGAAGGCGTTAGCAAGCGCCTGAATCATCGCGTAGAACCGATGTTCAGACCTTCCACCTCCTGTTCATTTCTACATGGTCTGCTTCCGTCATCAAGCCAGATTCGGCTTCTAGATAGGATGAACGTACTCTAACTAGCGTTACAACCCTTTCCACGGCTCGGCAATGAAGCCTCCCTTTTGCGGAGTGTACATCTACTAGTTGGCCTCATCTGTCCTGGTGAAGCTCTCAGTGCGCCTTACCATGTCCCTTGGGCTTCTTCGTGTGGTAGGAGCTGCTTAGAGGTGCGAATCGCTGTCCTCCGACTTGCTGAAGGGTTCATCTGATATGCTATATGGCAGGCTACCTGAGATTGAGGAGGCAGATTTATCATAGGAGAATGTTTTTGTCACAAGCTGAGAGGGCCTGGCTTCTATTTGTATTGGTATTTTGAAAATTGAAAGTATGGATCGTACATTGCGTGCCTTTTCAACAATTTTCTGGTCGCTTTCGAGATGGGTTGCTTTCATTTTACAAGACCACCTTTTAACGGTGTTTTTCTCTGTTAGAATTTAAGGAGGAATAGCCTTGGAACATTTTAATGAAGAAAAAAAGAAACGCGTGCAGAGGATCACGATGATGGGGGCAAACGCCACGATGTCCTCGTCTGACGGTACAGAGTCCATTTATCTAGATAAAAAAGAAAGAAGAAACCAGTATCGGAACAGATGTGAGGCAGAGGATGGAATCTGCCATAGCTCCTAGGCTACTGGTTTAGTTATATAATCCAACGATCTGGCCAGAAGGGCCAACTCACTTTTTGGCCATTCTCACCACGATGATACATATTTCCAACAATTACACAAGTCTTTACGAATTTTTAGGGCCACCAGGTAGATTAGAGTACCCTACATCACGCGACAGTCCATCTCGGTTAGTTTTCAGAGCGTTGTCTAGTTGGGATCAAGGTGGCACCGCATCAAGTCGGGTGCATCGTGTCCGCTCGAGCTGAGGCAAAATTGAGTGCAATCAGGCTGTTCAACAGACGGATCAAGGTCGACGCGTGGCAATAGTACAAGAGCCTTTCGCTCAAGATGATTCATCTGCATGTACAAGATCGCATAGAGGTACTGGACAAGCTCAACCTTATTGACCTGTCATCACCGCTTTACTGCCGAATCACCCTTTTAAGAAATGGGTTTGAGACCTTCTTGTACCTAAATGGTCTTCTCAAAGATTTTAAATCTGCATACTTAACATGATATAGGTAAAGACCGGCCTCCGAGTGATCATCGTTAATATTAGACTATCTAGAGTTACTTGCTTCATCATGGGCTTCAATGATAACGGGCAGCAGCAAGGCACAACTTCCCTCTTGCCTAATTTTTCTTGGCATCTACTATTAGTGTAAGACGTAGGTGTTAGGGCCTAAACAGTTGGTCATGTCATGGCGTAGCTATATAATGCAGAACAAGGGAAAATGATGCGGAGTCATCATTATCGAAGCTTTGCTTTGTGCCACAGTTGGTTGCCTTGACCTGCTCGTAACAGTAGGCTACTACTAAAGTCCTTAACAGCTAAAAACCCTTCACCTCTCGCCTCCAGCGCCCTACCGCGATGGCTTCACAGCCTCCGCCGGGCCCTGGATCGCCGCCGGCTCCCTCAGCCGGCCCTGATCAAGGCTCCGGAACCCCTCCAGAGCCGTCCCTAACCTTAAGGGCTAAACGCCGCCGCGGTACCGAGGCCTAGCTATCCTAGCCCAGCCTCGTAGGAAGCCAGCCTAACGCCTCTATAATAACCCTCTTACCGGCTAAAGGGCCCTTAACTATAAATAGGATAGCTACTAGAGCTATCCTTATAGCCCTTACTAAAGAGGCCAAGTATCATAAATCCCGAAAAGACGTCTTTATAGTGTTACAACCCAACATGCATAACAAGGCCAGGGGGCCCGCCCCACAGGCCTGCGGCGGCTATCTACCTGATATACGCAGAGAATCCGGGAACTCAGGTGACTCCTCATGGAACGGAAGAACTATGGAACAAGTCACGTGACGATAAGGAAAGTGAGCACACGATAAGGTGATTACAGTGATCACCCAAAGTGAGCACACGATAAGGTGATCACAGTGATCACCCAAAGTGAGCGCTCACCAGTATCCACTTAGTGATCACCAACGAACATGGTGACCAGGCAACAAAGGATATGTTCAGGATCAGGACTTGTATATAGGATGGACTCGAGCCGGGCTCTAGGACAGACTTCCCATAGCTTCTTCAGCAATTAACTTCGTATCAGGATTAACATCCGCTTTCAGCTACTACCTTGACAAGACTACGATTGATCACCGAAGCCTTACCTACCTTACGATTGACAGACATAGCTTCCCTGAAGCTATCCCCGACTACGATTACTGTTACCAGTTCCGCAGCCTCAACTTCTGCAAACTACCCCTACGACTAGCTGGCCGTAACATATAGCTATTACCTAGTCTATAAATAACGTAATCTCTTACTTTAAAGGGCCTAGGAAATAGATCGTAAAAAAGGCTATAGTTATTAGATTATTATATTTAGTTATATTATAGGGCGGAGCCGGTTAAGATATCCGGCTTTGCCAGAGCTATTATTCTGCCGTAGTATACCGCCGAGTCCGGGTATATTATACTAGCTATATGCGAACCCCTGTAATTACTCCTTTTCCTCCTCAGCTTAGAATAGTCAATCGACGGCACCTCTACGTTGAACAAGCCTAGGGGCCAGCCCCTTACAATCACTAAAGCCTTCCCTACTTTATGACTTACAGAAATAGCTTCCCTAAAGCTATTCTCGCCTACGATACTATTATCAGTTCCGCAGCCTCAACTTCTGCAAACATACCTCACTACGACTAGCTGACCGCAACAAAGAGAATCACGGATATTGCACGTGACAAGCTGCTTACAGAGTGCTGATGATATTCCTATTTCGTGATACAGGACTAGATGGATTGATGTCTTGGAAGAGTCCCGATTGGCCGCGGGGAGATAAGGAGAAACGTGCTCCACTGTGTCTTCAATGAAAGCCCATTGAGTGAACTTCCAGTGCACTGAAGATCGATTTAATTACCATTGTTGACTACCAGCAACGTTTTCTTGTCTTTCAGCTTTGTGGTTTTCGATGGTTTGATGTCCCCGCCTCGTCTTCTGAACGGGATTATGACAGTAAGATGTCTCCCTATTCGAAATGCCCACAGTGAAGTTGCACCGGTAGCGAGTCAAGACAATGTAAACATTCTCACTGCAATTGAAGGGCGAGATTGTCGTATTGAATACGACGACATTCAAGAAACTCTCATATCAAAACGGCGGTTGAAGCATAAAGTTTCTGGGTCTAAGCCAACTCCTACCCAACTTTACGAAAACGTCGAAAAAAGCTCTCCACTGCGGCGAAATTCACCGCCGTTGTTTCGGCTCGCAGAGTAATCAATCCCTTTGAGAAAAGTGATTGATTTTTGACCACTGTGGAGAGACTATGGTCCCATTTTCACGAATAGTGATACACTCTCAATGAAATACAGAGATGGCGGTGGATCAAGCCGTACGCGTACGTCACTGCGGCTGATGTCCGACGAACATTTGGCGAGTCAGTAGGCGTAAACCCGCTGGATGGCCCTCATCTCTAACACTCCTCGCTTACACTGTAAATAACGATCTACCTCGACAAGTCAGGCTCATGGTATTCCCAGCAATGGGTTACACCGAGATGCCGTCTCGGAGGCCGCTTAGCAATTGAAACTCATATTGATACAGATGCCAAAAAGGAGAAAAATCAAGAGGTTCTATAAGTTGCAAGCAGTCCTTGGCCTTTTGACACCATTATAGAATTACTCCCAATATCGCAATCTGAACCTCAGTCTTTCGTTTCAACTCCTCAACAACTTCCGGTCCACAGTTCTTCCACTACCATCAAAGATGCAGTTCTTCACCATCATCGCTCTCTTGGCGCCTCTGGCCCTCGCAGAGACCTGGAACCTTTCGGGCACATGCTCCAACGACCTCACTTGCGAGATCGACGACCAGTACACCAGCTCTACGCTGGTTTGCGGCAACCAGAACGGACACTTCTCTGGCGAAGGCAATGCAGGAAAGACGAGTTGCACTCCTGCTGGCACCAAGTGCACTCATGTCTGGACTTGCTAGGCGTCTACATTTACTCGCGTCTTGGTACGTATGCAGCGTGTTGAGAGAAAGTATTGTGGCTCACGTTTTTTTTTTTCTTGTAGACAAAGGAGTTATAGAGCGAAAATGGTCGTGCAGTTTATAATTAAAAGTCGACTGTATGAGATTAATTGTGGTTCAACGTAGCGATGTACCGAATGATCGGCGAGGCGGGAGCCGTTTTTGGCCCGTGATGTGACCCATTATTACCGTTGTCTTGACTGCCGTGTGCGTTCCCGGCGCGGGGTACACCCCACTATTCCCGAGGTAACAACTCCGTTGGACATGCAAACATGCAAAAACCTCATGTTCGTTCACCGGGCACATTTCTGTCCTTCTTGCATGATTCCATTGTAACCTAAAGCAAAGCATAATGGATTCGGAAAGGGAACTTGAAATCCCTGCAGTGCAGAAGGCGGTCATCTTTGAGAACCCTGGTCCTGATGCCAGGATTGTTGTTCGTGATGACGTACCAGTCGGAACCCCCGGGCCGTATGAAGTCCTTGTCAGACTCTGGTGTACCGGAGTATGGTAAACCGAGAAGACCCCATCATACATTCATCGAAGACAGTCCTTTCTAACATCGTGGGAACTTCTCAGTGGGTCCGAGGTTCGAGCTCTACGCGGCTGGGGCGCCTAAGACCTAATTCTAGGGCATGAAGGCGTCGGTAGCGTCGTGAAACTGGGAGAACACGTCCCAGAGACTCTTCTAAGGAGAAGAGTCGGAGTCAAGTGGCTTTACAGAGCCTGCGGCGAGTGTTCCGTATGCGCGCGCGGATTCTCCAACAACTGCCCGAAGCAGTTAAATACCGGCAAGCACCGTCCAGGGACCCTGCAGAATTACGTTGTAGCAGATTCACGGTATTTGACTCTGATACCAGAACGCTTGAGCAGTGCAGACGCCACACCATTTCTCTGTGCGGGCCTCACGATGATGGGCGCACTCTCGATGCTAGACAACGAGTCATCTCCCGGTGACTGGGTTGTGATTCAAGGCTCAGGAGGTGGGCTTGGTCATCTGGGAGTCCAGATCGCGAAGAAGATGAAGCATCTTCGTGTCATCGCAATAGATACAGGATCTAAGAGCAACTGGGGCAAAAGCATGACGGATGCGTATTTTGATTACAAGACTGACGATCTGGAGAAGTTCGTCATGGATCTCACCGGCGAGGGTGCGCACGCTGTGATTGTGGTTCCTGGCTCAGAAGACGCCTATCGAGTTGCACCTAAACTTGTAAGGTCTATGGGAACAATCTTCTGCGTTGGATTGCCTCGGAATGACTTCGAGATACCCATCTCAGTTGCTCAATGTGCTTTGAAAGGTATGTTTGCTCGCTCTGATTGTGTCTTTTCGGGTGTTAAGAACTGACAACTTCGCATAAGCTCTGACAATCAGGGGTGCTATGGTTGGAACAGAAGAACAGATGACGCAACTTCTTCTCGCAGCTGAAAAGGGCATCATTCGTCCGAATTGTGACTACTGTTCTTTCCATGACGTTCACAAGGTCATGGATGAGTTAGAAAGCGGAGAGATACTTGGGAGGACCGTGGTCAGCTGTCTGTGAGAGCTACATGCCACTCTCACCTCCTCCATGTCGTAGAATGTAGCACCGAGACGTCTTAATAACTAGATGAATCTGCTCTTGCGATGATCTGCTCGAGTGAATACTTTCGCAACTCCCTTGAGGAAGCACAGCAAGCGCTTGTGAACGCTGACCTTCTCAGCCTCTGTTGATTGTTGCACGTAACTTGGCCTTCCGGATATGGAGATGCTCATGCAGGAATCGTACCAACAGGACTTGCATGCCGGAGACATGCATAACCATCACATGCCAAGAGAGGGGTAAAATGTGACAGAGACATTGTCACGGATATAAATATAACAGGGAGGTTAAAAGAGAGAACTTTGGCGCATTGTCTTCAATACATCTTGCATCATCCGACCCCACTTGTAACTCGACGAAGATGATACCTTCTCTGCCCAAATCGTCTCCTAAGTCGCCCCCAAACAATGGCAATGATACTATCGACGCTATCATTCCAGATGAGGTCTTTCTAAGATGTTTCAACCCTTTCGCAGGGCTGTTGCTAACTGTCAGCTCAGATCAACAATGAGGACGCTTCTACGATTGGACCCGTAAGTTCAGCTTCAAGAATAGACCCAGTCTCTGGTAATAAGTTATTGATCACTATCTTAGAGCATTGCTTCTTCAAGTACAAGTGTGAGCAGTTCGATTCTCGATTACCGGATAGAGAACGGTCGTACATATCACAAGTACAAAGACGGCAGTGAGTTCCATACCAAACTCACTTATTACTGTGTCTGAGACTCACGCAAGCAGAATATGCACTTCCCAATGATGACCGGGAGCTCGATAGACTCGGTCAGAGACGCAATTCAACTGCAACCGTAACCTTCTGAGACTAATACAGGCAGCCCCGCAGACCTATCACACAACCTCTTTCTCATGACGTTCGATAACAAACTCGGAACAGCTCCACCGAACGCAGCTGACTCTGGCATCCGCCGCGTTCTTGATATCGGCCCAGGCACGGGTATTTGGGCAATCGACTTTGGCGATGAGCTTCCCGAGGCCGAGGTGAGCTTCAATGGAACGGTTCATGGTCTGACCTCTTACTCACTCTTATGCCAGGTTCTCGGAGTCGATCTGTCTGCCACATGGCCAAGCTAGTGCGACTTCCACCCCTTCCCCCTTCTTTCTTATAGAAAGAGTAACTGATCGCTCGCAGTACGCCTCCCAATGTTCGCTTCGAGATTGATGACGTTGAAGACACTTGGACACTCTCTCGGCCATTCGAATATATCCATAGTCGGGTCATGGCCTCGTCGGTCAAGAGCTGGGAAGACTTCATCCGAAAATGCTTCGAGTGAGTCTTTGTCCTGCTCATCAATAGCAGCGGTGGAAGCTCATCAATGACCCAGCAACCTTAGCCCGGGGGGATACCTCGAGCTAAACGAAATCGATCCCTGCCCGCTATCCGATGACGGGACCCTCAAGGAAACCTCCGCAATCATCAAATCAGTCCGCATGCTAGAGCAAGCCGCCAACATTTTCGGTCGGCCTTACCACACCGCTCAAGCACTCCAAGAGACCTTGACCAAAGTCGGCTTCGAGGATGTGACGGTACAGAGATTCAAGTGGCCAACGAATCCCTGGCCCAGAGACGCGCGTCACAAGGAGCTTGGGGTCTGGACCCATGAGAACCTCGTGGCTGGCTGGGAGGGCTTCTGCATGGCCCCCTTTACCCGAGCCTTGAACTGGTCTAGGGAGGAGGTCCTGGTTGGTTCTTATGACGCAGGTGCGCAACGAGTTCAGCGATCGAAGCATACACGCGTACTTCCCAGTGTGAGTTCTGGAATAATGCCTTTTCGGTGGCTCTACTAATGTCGTCAGTCATTCGATATACGCTAGGAGGCCTGCCAGTGCCGGACCGGCTTCAGATTGAGAATGAGATTTGAGTATAAATAGATAGAATATGTGTCCTTGAAGGACTCTCTGATCCAGCAGCACGGTATTCCTGATCTATAAGGACAAGTTTCAGGGATTTGCCTGTCCCCGTTGAGGCGAGCGTCCTTGGATAACCACCGACGACCATCCCATGTCCCCGACGCGATGTCTCCAAACAAAGAAGGTCTTTCCCAACATCCCTCACCTCCAGAGGTATATTCGAAGCCTCTGTTTAGAGGACGGGTGGTGATCGGAAGGGGATCTGGTGCCCGGCGTCCATTGTGGGCAGGTGAGCTATCCAGCCAGCGGTACAACACCTGAGCATATCTCCTCTTGGGTTCGGTATGCCGTCGTCTTTGAGATTATCCGAAACTATCTCCACGAGCCCTTCAACCGCTGGGCTTGGTGCGAAAAGAGCATTGTAGCCTCCGATTTTGCCCGGGGACAATTTCTCAACAGACTTCCATGACATACCAAAGATCCCGTCGTCAAAGCTTTATCTCCAGCAGGTCTCAATCCCGGTCGTATCATGTAATCTCAATAGCAGATGAACATATATTGCTATTCCAGCGTATTTCCTGACGCCGTTGTCAACGTGACGAACCCAAGAACAACCTCGACCACGATCACGATCACGCACCAAGCTACTGATAAATGTCTATCGTTTTCAACGTATTCACACCGAGACACAGACGACATTCCGAACATCCAGCAACACTCCCACCACCCATTCTCAATCGCGATCCCCATTTCCGGCTCAAATCCAGCCTCCGGGTCCGGGCTTCACATCACGTCGTGAAATGGAAAACTCCGCCCCGAGCACCGACCACCATCATCGGTGCCTCCGTCACTCCGAAAACAACCTCTCCGTACCCCTCCAAGGGTGACCGCCGTAGACAGCACTGCGCCTCTCGATCCCGCACCGACTCCCCCTTCTCCCGCTTACTCGTCGCGTTGATGATGCCCAGAGAAGCAGAGCCTCAATCCATATGCTTCTCCATGCCTGCATCCAACCCATCCCCTTTTCTTACGTAACGCGCTTTACATTTTACGTACGAACATCGTCATTAGGAAGGGGTCTTGATTCGGGCGTAAGTCACGCTCCCTCTCTTCTGATACCAGCCTCACAAGCCGCTCCATCTCGGGATTGTCGAGGCGGATACCATCGGGTTCAAGAACTCTCTCTCTCTCTCTCTCTCTCTCTCAACACCTTGCCGCATCAATTACCATCAGAGACTCACCATACCAGAAGCAATCACAGAATGAAGAAAATCGAGCACTGTTTGGAAAAAGACAAAAGCTATCATTATATATGCTTATCATGATGGTAAACAATGGGTGGGAGATAGAAAACCCCGTAACCATGCAAATCCCCAATATACCCGCAGACCTCTGTAAACGCCATCAGGAACAATGCTCATAAGACCAATTGCCCTCAAGAATCAAGAAAACCGTAATGATACAGCCCGCAAGTCTGCCAGATGCAACCTCACCCACCAGAGCCACCATCTCAAATGCGTCCAGTCCACACCGTCAACATGCAATCCCCATACTCGCCATCCCCTCCATCACGGAGCCAAAAAGACACCCCGTAACCACGCAATCAACACCAACCACCTACGCCTCATCATCCCTCTTCCCCCCGCTCCTAGGCGCATACAGATGAAACTGCCCAAAAATCACAAAATCCTCCACCATAGTCCCCAACGAACCCAGCAACCACGGCAGCGCATTCAAGAGATACGCCCGGTCCTGCTTAAACGCCACAAGACTCCCACCGTACGTCAAATTGCCCGTAAGCGACAGCAGGAAAAACAGCAGCGCGAGCCCCTCGCACGACTTTTCCCTGTAATTCTTGATAATCTGCGGGATGCGCGCGCAGAGGTAGCACACCGCGCTGAAGTACCCCAGCGCCAGACCAATCTTCTCCCAGGTGCCGTCCTCCGCCGCCGCAGGGGATCCGGCATCAGAGCCGGCACCCGGGGCGTCGGGGGCGTCCCACGCGCCGGCCTTGTACGAGAGGAACCAACCCGCCGCGCCGACGAGGTACACCGCAACGATGCTCAGCGTGTTGTGAAGCCAGGGGTTGCTGTCGGGCGTATCGTCCTCGCCCGTGACCATCTTGCGCAAGGGGTCGAGCGAGCTCTCCTCGTGGAGCCCGTGACGGCGCTGGGAACCGGGGAGACCGGCGGCGGACGAGCTACGGCGGCGCTGTGCGGAGCTGGAGGAGAGCAGCGGCTCGTCTTCGCGTGCTTCGGTCGGGTTCGCGCCGGTGGCTGTGACGGGCGCGGAGGAGCGGCGGCGTGAGGATGCGCGGCGGGCGTTTTTGGTGTTGTAGTAGACGCATTGGGAGATTAGGACGAGGTCGGCGAAGCAGAAGTAGCTTGCGAGGGCGACGGCTGTCGGGGCGAGGTGGGTGAAGAGGGCGCCTGTGAGGTGAGGTGCTTTTGTTAGTGGGAGCACGCGCCAAAGGCTAAAAATCTTTTTTCCAAGGTGGTGTTGGTGTTGGTGGTTGGAGAAATTTTCGGTATGACGAGAGGCGCAAGTTTTTTTTTTCTTGGAGAAGGGTAGCGGTGTAGGAGAAAACAATGAAGAGGTAGATGACATGGAATAACGTGCAGAGCGCCAGGGAAAAGAGTGCGGAGGTGGGGAGGTAGTTTTCTTCATACCCATGAGGTTCGTCACGTCGCCAATCAACCAGATAATCAGGAAGCCCATGGACAAGCCATCAGCGCTTTGCGACTTGTAGTTTGTGAGGAGCTGGGGAAGCTATTTCACGTAGATAAGAACGTCAGTTTACTTGGACAAAAGAAGGTAGGGAAAAACGTCGTGATCCGAGGTCGCGTGACCTTGGCGAAGAGAGAGGGAACGTACGAGGAGACATATCCACGCGGTCAAGCTGATGCTGCCAAAGATTCCCGACAGGGCCTCTTCGACTTTTGGAGTGGACGATAAGGCGGCAAAGGCCGTGACTGCGACGGAAGCCATTGTGTGTTTTCGATATGCGAATTGTTGAAGCTCACAATAACGAACGTGAAGGAGGAGGGGGGAAAGAATGAGTAAGAAGAGCCGCAGCGACAGACAGGTTTTGGGAGGAGCTCTCTCTCTCTCTTGTGCCGTTCCTCGGTCAGGTGGGCTTTGGAATGGGGTCAAGTGGGATGGATGGTTTTCTCGATGCAGAGTCACGCAGGCATAGACAAGACCATTGTTGGTGCGGCGAGGGACTGATAGCGCCCACCTCTTGTCCAATCAAAACGCGGTCTTCGTCTTTTCCCCGTTATCGCATCTCTTATCGCTGACCGCATCCGATAAGAGGACCCCTGCCACTGCATGACATAACCAATCGACCAAGAACGGCCTTGGCGGCGGAGAGTGCGGGTTGACGAAGAGGGCAATTAGTGGGGGTTATTGAGCATCGAGCATGGGTCACTCCAGGAAAACTTGAAAAAGCAGAGCGGGTTGACCGCCGAAGAGGTCCTATTTTCGGAGGGGCCATCGGCGGAGAACTTGTCGAGCTGAGAGAATTGCGCCAATGAAGAAGTCTGATTTGGTCATCCCGCAAGTCTCTTGCATTGCGCAGAAGCTGAGTGCTGGAGCTGAGTTGCTGACAACCTGAGCTTATGTAATTCTTCCAAGATGCTTCTACGCATTCGCATCTGCGGCGATATCGAGATGAACCGCTCGCATGGTCCAGAGAACATGCCCGAATGCATGCAGCGAAAGCCATCATCCAAAGTCTAAAATAAAATAAAAAAGTGTCTCCAATCACAGGAGCAGAACCGCCCGTCACCAGATAGGCTGAGATCCCGCATTCCAGCGGTCACCGGACATCCGCCGATCGTCAGCATTCCCCTCTCGACTCGTGTTTCACGTGGACTCCCCCGTGCACCGCCATGATTCGCCCTCCGTGGCGGGTGTGAATGAATGGTCACGGACAAGCACCCCGGCGCCGCGTTCCTCAGCCAACTCACCTGTGCCGGGGGCCTATACCAGCGGCCCCCTCAGCGCCAGTCGTCCGTGTTGACGTTGACGTGAGCTTGCGTGCATCGCTCCCGTCCCCAACACCGGTGACCCGACCACGCGTCAAGCTATCATATAACCAACCTCGCGTCCGTTTTGTCCTTGTCTTGCTTATCGTTCGCCATTCCGTCAATTTGAGACCCCAATTGTAATGCCAAAACATTGAAGCCTGATTGCACCTCAGTGCATACCCACCACTAACATTCGTAAGCCATCATGAGGCTTTCAAGCACCGTAGCACTGCTCGGTGCATCTCTGCGCGGGGTCGCAGCATGGGGAAGTATGTCATCGGATCCCTAAATCCACGGGAGCTTCAAAGTGGCGTCGAGCTCCATCGCTGACCGACTTGACTTACCAGGTCTGGGTCACATTTCGACTGCGTACCTAGCCAGCCACTTCGTTGCCAACACAACCGAAGTCTTCTTCCAGGACCTCCTGCGCAATGACTCCGAGCATTACCTTGCCGGCGTCGCGACCTGGGCTGACACGATCCGGTACACGCGCTGGGGACACTTCACCGGGCCCTTCCACTACATCGATGCCAAAGATAGTCCGCCCGGCTACTGCGGCGTCGACTTCGAGCGGGACTGCAAAGCCCAAGGCTGCGTCGTGACGGCGCTCGCAAACTACACGGCTCGGTCTTTGGATCCCAAGCTGAGCGGTTGGGAACGCAACCAGGCGGCGAGGTTCGTCGTGCACTTCATTGGCGACATGCACCAGCCCCTTCACAACGAAGATGTGGCTCGTGGAGGCAACAGCATCCACGTCAAGTGGCAGGGCTCCGATTACAACCTGCACCACGTCTGGGACAGCTCCATTGCCGAAAAGCTGATTGGGGGTTCTCGTCGGAGGCCGTACGACAACGCGAAGAAATGGGCGGATGAGCTCGCCGACGAGATCAAGACTGGAAAGTTTGCTGCGCAAAAGGAAGAGTGGCTCAAGAGTCTGGACTTCAACAACGTCAACGCTACCGGCCTAGAGTGGGCGAGAGAGGGAAACGCTTTCGTGTGCACCCACGGTATGTTGATTCCCGAGTCATCGGCGACCACCCCACAACCCGGAAAGGCGACGTCGAAACTGACTCTTGTATAGTATTTCCAGAGGGGCCGCAAGCTATTGTTGGCCAAGAACTTAGCGGCGAGTACTTCCAGAAGGCGGCACCTGTGATTGAACTGCAAGTCGCCCGCGCGGGTGTGAGAATGGCCGCTTGGCTGAACCTCATCGCAGCGGCGTACCAAGACCAAGCGAAGACGGCCGAACCTGTCATGGAAGACTTGTAAGATTATGAGATGAGACGCCAAGAATGCTGCGTTGTTTGCGCCGCGCGACTTTCTGTACGAGACCCTCGATTATCACAGAGCAAAATGTGTTTTGATGCAGTGAAAGCTTGGCCCTGCAGGGGTCCTCTGTGTGTATCTGATTTCATGACCTAGAGCATAGGAGTAAACATTTCTAGATGCTAGGCTGGTAGGATGATGTCCAATGACGAAATTAGGCTCACTTTAGACTCATATGCCGTAGTAGTGCTAAGATCGTGACAGCTGCCACGCGGCAACTCACAGACTTGCCATAGGTTAAAGAGACTCGGAATGATGCTGATCACACCGGTCGCGACGCAGTCTTGGCCGGGCCTTCGTCAGCAAAGAGTGTGTCTGCGATGGCTGAGGCGGCCAAGTTTGATTCACATGGAAGAGCTGTTTCCCAGAGGCGTAGTCGGCAAACATTGCCTGGCTATGAGAAAGTGGCGTGACTTGAACCCATTTTCCTTCTCGCGGTGGGGAATTTGGAACCAGACTAAGGACGGCTTGGAAGTCTAGCCGTGCCAGCAAAAAGGCAGCAATTGGGATGATAGGTGACGTCTGACAAGTGAAGTTCGATGACAGCCCTTGCCGAGGGTCCGAGAGCAGCCGGACGAGCAATACGACCAAGGAGATTGGATGCCGGAGGAAGCGCATCCTGTGCATGGCAGTGGACGCAACGGGATTGGCACGGGTTCTGCATCTCAAGTTTGCGATGACGGTTCAAGTGTACTGGGTGTCTGGGGCCGTGGGCGAGCGTGGTCACCGTAGTGCAGGCAATGAGCGACGATAGATAGTGCAAGGCGTTTGCCTCTGTGACAGTCGACGGGTTTCAACTCGTCTTCCCGAGCTGGGATGGAAGGCAGGTCTGCATGCCGGATCCGAGGAGGATGCCTGCGGGTTCAAGGTGAAGACGAGGTTGCGCCGGTTGGCTCGAGTGACAAATGGACGGAAGTTGAGGTGAACCTGTTTCACCATTGGATTTTTGGCACAGGCTTCAAACTCAGCCTCGTGTCGCAGGATGGTGCGCCTCCTTGGCGCAAGTGGAGGTTCGCGACAGGGGCGCTGTCTACGCTATCACTCCCACTCCACCGCAAGCAACCCCGGTGGCTCGGATCCGGATGAGGGAAGATTGATGACAAGCCCTTTAATTGATGTTGGAGTTGGCTGGCATCTTCAGGGGGAAAACAATCTGCTCGTTTACGGGATCTCGGAAGGGATGAGACGAATATGGGGGAGGCGTCGGCTGTGGTGCCGGTCTTTTGGGTGCGTTTGTGGAAATTCGAAGTTTCGCCAGATGATCTTTTGCGATGTAGCTTCAAGCATCAAGCCGTAGAGCCGTGTCGTTCGTTGCCAGGCGCAGGCGAGGCCGCGAAGGCATCGTCATGTGGTGCCGTGGCTCCGCATCCGAGTGTAAATCGGCAAGAAGACAGGCCGTACCCATCAGAAGAACCGGCACAATCATCCACAATGTGGTATCGGTGGGATCCGCAAGTAAAAGAAGAAGTTAGAATAGCGGGATCAAGACCGAGCATTTGTTTCCAACGGTGACAATGGCGGATCTGTCAGTGAGCAAAACGTCGTAGGGCAAATTTAGGTGTGGACGATCAATAGCATTAAACTCAGCGTCGTTTGCAAAATGTCCGACAATTGGCAGCCCAGAAAGGAAAGTTCTCGACTCGACGACTTGGGTTGACAGCGACGAGATGAAAATCGAAACCGTCATCTCATGGATAAGCATCTCGAGCGCTAGGGTTTCCCATGAGGAAGATCAGATTAACCTTTTGCTCGGATGGCTCATGCAGGACCGGCCGGTTGTCCAACGTGCGAGGGGCGAGGGGCAAGGGGAAGGGGTGAACTCGGTGCCAGGTGGAGGGAGGTTGGTTGGTGTCGTTGTTGAGAGTGGCAGATATCCAAGGATTCGGGGAACAATGACATGGGAGAGAGTGAAAGAAGGGGTGGGAGAGGGGGAAGACTCGAGGTGAAGCAATACACCGTTGACAAGGGACCCCCCTTCCCCCTCGCAATTCTTCCAGGGCTGCTGTGGTGGGGCGGGTTTCTGGCGGGCGGGATGCTAAGGACAACCTTAAACGTGGTAAGAGAGGATGAGATAATCAACCTTTCCTGTTTCGGCGACCCAAATGGAGTCGGGGATCTCCACGGGTCTTGGTCCGCTGCAGGTACCGAGTGTAAACGGCGCTTGGCACTCCTGCTGGGACGTGGAAGGAGCCCTTCACCATCCCGTCTGTACCTGACGCTTTCCTCTTCCAGTTGCAAGTGCGAAGACTCCCATCAAAGGCAAGAACGATAGAGATCAGATACGTACCTCCGTTTTGACAATGGAACCTTGTGGAAAGTGAGGCACCGGTGGAAAGAAGACGGCGCACCTTCCAATCTCACGGCTCCGTCGTGTCTTTCTTGACCTTCCTTCGCTCACCTTAGGTTGCCTTGCACTATCAGAATCTGAGGTGTAAGGAGGTGCGAATACTCCAACTTCTTCTTCGGCAACTTCATGGGTTTCCTTGGCACTCAACGTTTGACGGGAGCAAGATCATCCCCGAAGCTCCAACCACACACAGCAAGTTACGGTGGACCACGCCGACAAGACAATTTTTTTCCCCTCACCCACTCACTCGCCCTGGAAACCCCTTCGTGCGGCGTGCCCCTTTGCTGCCCGCCCTCTTTTCTCAAACCGACAATCGACGGTACCGTGACTGGTCGTCCCAGGGGGCCTTGCCGTCATCCGAACTTGCCGAATAGCAGATTAAGTTTATTGGATGTTTGATGCCATCATTGCTGCGCGCCCGCTGCTGACCTTGGTTTTCCGCTCGCTTCGCCAACTCCACATTCCGACCAGCAACGCTGTGCTGTCAACGTACTCCGTATGCGAGGTGGGAGCTGCTTCTCGTTTGCTTCCACATTTTGCAAAACGGCAGAAAAAACTCAACTAGGTTTCTAGATAGGCTCCGCCGCTCTTCCACCGAAAAGCCTCCGTGCACCTCTGGCCAAGCAATACGATGCATTCGCTTGCGATGCAGACGAGGCACACGATACACTTTCCCACCCTTATCTGCGGGAGGAATTTCATAAGGGCAAGCTTTGAAGTGGAACAAAGATGCAGTTCGCCCACCGGAATTAGACGGGCGCTTCCATGCTAATGCAAAGTTGTAGACATGAACCGACCGATAGAACTGCCAGAGCCGATATTCGATCTAAATGTTAATGTTCTGGTGTAGCTGGCCGGCGGTCGCACTAGCACGGCATGTCTCACCCGTCTAAACGGTCCGTTGCCAATCATTCACATTGCCGCTTTCTCCCGGCCAAGCTTGAGACCGTTGTCGTGTCGCTGGTACCCGCAGAAGCACCGCGGAAAAGAAACGCACCTGAGCGGCTCGGGGGATCTTCAAGCGGTAACGTCAATCAAAAACCCCCATCGCGAACATCATCATGTGGGCGTTGCGTCTCTTGCGTGTGTGCGTGTGCGCGCTGTCAGTAACGCCTCTGTGTGGCCAGGCTTGGCGTTAATACAGGCGTGCCAGGCTTCTCAGGAAAGCCAGCGTCCGGAGGTAAATCATGGCCAATCCCCAAAGGCTTAGCATGAGGAGCTAAACCCATGACGACTCATGGCTCATGAGCCAAATTCAGTTCCATACGCAATCCAGGACTCCAGTGTGCCATTCGTCTCGACGGGGGTGCGGCTCGCACAGATTGGTCCACCGTCGACGGTCTGTGGGGATACGGATATATGCTTGTCCTGACGGTCACAAATCTGCCAGCTGACGGAGGAGGCTTCGCTCAGATAGCCAGCGGGCAAGCATTTGCGGGTGGTTGTGGAAAAAGGCTGCTGCTGCTGCTTAACTGGTGACGGTAAGGTACACGGTAACGATACGTTGAACACATACGGCGAAGAAGTACTCCGTAATGTACCGCGCTTAAGAGACGGCAAGGACACAAAAATTTCGTCCAGTGTCTCGTTTCGCTTCATCGACGCCTCGGGCGAAACGCCATTTGCCTGATGTGCCGGACAGCAGGCCCCGCTATTGGTTCGCTAAGCCACGCCGGGGCAATATGGAGACTCCATGACCCCATTCTGCGACGACAGGAGCCGCATCAGACCTTCCCAGACCTCGCGACGGCACAAGCCACGACCGGACGGGGGGCATCCTCACCAACCTGGAAGCTACCAACAACCTTTTCTTGCCTCGCATCTTTAAACTCTACCAATACTGCAATACTCCAATACTGGCCTAGCCCAATACTGCTGCGGTAGACACCTGCCACAAAGACCGGAGACACCACACTGACGTTACCCGAGCTGCCTTGTTCGTTACCTGCCATCCTGAAGAGTCGGGAACCGTCCGTCAAGGATGCCCACCCTCTCCGACCGGAGACAACGACCTCCCCTGCTCATCTGTAGCTTGTCTTCCTGTTCTATCCGACTACACTACTCCGTACTACACACTACGGATACTCTTCATACACTACGCCTCTGACCAACATCTTTGTAGCCATTCCCATCCCATGCATGCTAAACTCGACTACCCCTGCCAAAGCTCAGATCTCTATTCTCCCGTCTCTCACTCAACCCCCCGATCCATCATCCCTACTCACTCTCCTCCTCCTCCTCGGAGCCTGGAGGCGTCTGCCCTTGTCAACTAGTTGTCGCATACCATCTCATCAGACAGATGCTACCTACCTAGGTAGTCTCTATCCCTCCACGGACGCCTGCACACTCTGTCCGTACACACAGAGAGCAGACCCCCATGACCTTTTCCCACCCCCCGGTTCAACATCCACTGCGGGCCTGCCATTGCCCGCACGGGGATCAGATGCTAAGCAGCATCCATGTACTCACACCCCCGGCCAATAGTTTGAGCCGTGTACTATCCGTATACCTACTCAGTAGTATGGTGTATGGGTAGGTGCCAGGTATTCTGCAGACGGGCTCCTGTCAGCCCTTGTCTCCTCCTCTCCCATCTCCCCTGCGCCGCGTTTGGGACTCGTGGAGACGATTCCTCCTCCCCAAGCCGCCATGGAGCCTGTCTCCGTTCATACGACCCCTTGGTCGAACCGGCACCAGCCTGCAACCGCAGCCCTGTGCATATAAGACTTGAAAGCTTGGCACTGATCGCATATTTGTCTCGGCCTTTCCCTTCTTAATCCCCAGCAGCTCTCAGTCTCGATCATTCTTTTCACCTTCCACCCTTTACTTTTATTTCCATTCATCCTGTTGCCTCACGCTGGGAGTGTGTCTTTACATTCATTCATTCATTTCTTTTCAGCTTGTGCTACGTATTCAGGTGTCTGTGACCGTTCCTTTCGTACTCTACTCTTGTTCGCTCCTCGGTCTGGAACCAACTCTTTCGAACGACAATATAGTATTTTATTGATAGCGACTCGGTCGACAACTCTCTCGGATTTATCCAACGATCAACAAGAAACAACAAGATGCAGATCCAAAAGCTCATTGCAGCCCTCGCGGGCATGGCCGTCGTCGCCGAGGCCTCTGTAGCCTTCCTCGATGCCTCGCCTCTGAGCGCCGCCCTCGCCAAGCGTCAACAACGTGGTGGTAACCGTGGTGGACAGGGCGGAAACCAGGGTGGAAACGGAAACCAGGGTGGAAACGCAAACCAGGGTGGAAATGCCAACCAGGGTGGAAATGCCAACGCTGGTAACAACGGAGCTCTGTGTTTGCAAGCGAACGCGGTGCAAAAGGGTTCGCAGCAGGCCGGACAGCCCAGCGCGCAACAAGCCAACTCGAAAACGTGAGTATACACACAAACAGACAAGCTGGAAACACGCTAACTAAGCTGCCTTGCAGCGACAATGCCAACTTCATCAACGTTTGCTCCGGTTCTACCCTCACCGATGGTGAGCAAAAGACTGGCGGTTCTTGCAACGGTGTCCCCATGGGCAATATCCCCGCCCAGACCAACATGGTCTCTACCGTCATCAACAACCCCCCTCACAACGGCAACATCCAGGCCAACCAGGACTTCGATGTCGAGCTCAAGGTCAACAACCTGCAAGCCGGCTCCTTCACTGACGCTCAGTCCACCTACTACTCTGCTCCCCAGGATCTCAGCGGCGCCGGTACCGTTATTGGTCACGTTCACGTCACTGTTCAGGACATGGGTAACTCTCTGACGCCCGCCACTCCCCTGGATGCTTCCAAGTTCGTCTTCTTCAAGGGTATCAACGATGCCGGCGATGGCAACGGCAACTTGAAGGCCACCGTCACTGGAGGTCTCCCAGCCGGAAACTACCGTGTCTGCACCATGTCCAGTGCTTCCAACCATCAGCCCGTTCTGATGCCCGTTGCCCAGCGTGGTGCCCAGGATGACTGCAACAAGTTCACCGTTGGTGGAAACGGCGGCGGCGGCAACAACAACAACGGCGGTGGCAATAACAACAACAACGGCGCCAACGGAGGCAACAACAACAACGCCGCCAACGGAGGCAACAACAACAACGGCGCCAACGGAGGCAACGCTGCCAACAACGGAGGCCAGCAGAGTAAGTCCATCAGGAGACATCGAGCATAGTAAGGTACTAACAGATACAAGACAACCAGGGCGGAGCTGCCCGTGGAGGTAAGCAAGCCGGCGGCAGACAAGGCGCCGGCGCTGCTGCAGGCGGTGCCGGACGTGGCGGTGCTGGACGAGGCGCTGGTCAAGGTAATGCTCAAGCAGCACCTAAGAACCCCCCTCAAGGATTTCCCACCACTCCGTTCCCAGGCCAATTCCCCGGCCAATTCCCCGGCCAATTTCCTCAATTCCCTGGAAGCGCACCCCCTGGACAGGCCACAACACAATCCCAGACCGGAAACACACAGGAGACTCCAAATACTAACAGCTCCGGCCAGGACGGGGACGCCGCCAGTAATTCGAAGAACGCGACGGCGACTCCTTCGGTAGACCCGGCGGCAGCACCGCCAACGCCCACCCAAGGCGGAGGCGCCTCCAACAATGGCAACGCCAACAGCAATGGATCCGGACAGAACGGCAACGGTAACACTTCTTCTGGATCTGGCAAGGGAGGCGCGACGTCGAACGCTATCGGCGGATTCGCGGCCCCGGCGGTCTCGGATTCTGGCGATAGCAGCCGACCATTCTCCGTCAACGGCAACTCGTTCGTTTCCAAGGCCAATGCGGCGCAGCGTGCTTGCGATGTTCAACGGAATGCCTGTTTCAATGCTTTCAACGGTGGAAAGTTGAACGGGGTTACCACGGCCGACTGTGATGCCCAGGTGCAGACCTGCATCCAGGAGCTCTCATAATCGAATGCCTTTCAACGACAAGGACAACAACCGAGGGATTATTGGGATACGCACGCGCGCGCTACTACGACAATACGGGCCTTTTGACATCATACAACGACAAGTCTCCATGCTTTTGGGTTCACCCGGGTCGCCAAAAAGTGTTCTGGTGTTTTTCTGTTTTTAATTTCTTGGGTTGTTATATTCTACACGAACTGGCAGAAGGTTATTGGATGAGCAGGTTGGCGTGGATGGTTTTTCTTTTGTTTGATGAAAACCAGCGCTCCCCGTGCTTCGATACCACACACACATATCAACGACAACTGGCAAACCTCTCCCCCTCTATATTATTGTTCTAATGTTCCGCTCCCCGACACCTTTGTCTCTCACCACACACACATCTCATCACATCACCATGACACAAAATCTTACGATCCGACCTTTCTGTACATTTAGAGGGAGTTGTTTTTCCGTTGACAGGATACGCAGCATGGCTTGGAAAGAAATGGAAGACACAATTCCAGTAGAGAGTGCACACAGTTTTTTGGATTACTTTTTGCTTGTTTCTTGGTTCTTGCGCATTTGACATGTTGTGACACTTATTTTCTTTTACTAACTACTTAGGAGCTCGGTGATGAACTGACAATCTGACAATCTGACTTAAACTACCAGATGACAAGTCACGATGTCACCCCATCGCACTGAAAGTCGGGGTGGCAGGAGGTATACCGGCCAGACTGCGCCGAACGTCCTCTCTCTCTCTGATGGTCTTGAGCTTTGTAAAGTGAGTGGTGCGCGGTGCCGAGCGGTGGTCCAAGCTGCGGCGTCTGATCTGCGTGTCGCGATGATGGGGGGCACATGTCTCGGCCTGGGGGCCGTGTTATGCACCGGGGTGGTGCCTGGCTCGGGGCTGGGGTCCGCTTTGGGGAATCTTTTTGGTGGTATTTGGTTGCTCTTGGTGAGGCTTTTTTTTACATGACTAAGCTGGATTCTCCAGCATTGTGTGGTGTAGTGTGAGTGGGTTGGAGACTGGCGTTCGACTTGGCAGGTCTTGAGAGGTGTCAAAAAATAGGGTAAAAAAGAGTTGAGACGCGTTTCATCTCCATTCTTTCTCTGCTTTTGGAGCCGGAGTTGGGACGGATGGGAGGGATGCTGCGACGGAGGGGGCTCTGCGGTACCGTAAAATAGTCTTAATGGACAGAGTTATATTTACAGGGGACTGTGATTAGAGTCCGGTATTGTGATGTCAAGAGTCGAGGCTGGCAAGCAAGAATCTGAATTCTGGATGGCGGGCGTGTGTCATGGGTTGGGATGGCACCTTTTGGTGTTGCGACTTGCGAGGGGGGTGGGGGGGTGGGGGGGCCACTGAGGGTCAGTTAATTAGGAGATTTTTTTTGACGTTTCGGAAGGGGAGAGCGAAGAGAGAGATTAATTGAAGCTTATTCTTATCTTGAGGTTTCCCCTCTTCTTTCTCGGTTCGCATTTGTTTCACACACACACGCGCGCGCGCGCGCAAGATGGTCTTGATGGAGTTGAGTCGGCGAGTCGGGGGGCAAAGAGTTGAAGGTTTGTTTCCATGACTCTTGACTGTTTTTGCATTTTGTATTTTTGCCTGACTTGAGTTTACCTTGTTTCTCTCTTTCGCCTTCCCTATTCCCGTCTGTTCCTGCGAGGCCGTTGTAGCCGTTTCTTTTCACGTTTTAGCTTTTACCAACGGCTGTTTATAGTCAGTTTTCGCAAATGTACTACTGAATGAGCGGTGATGTAGCAAGTGCACGATCGATAAGAAGGTCATCGCCCCCCACCCCCTCACACCACCCCCTCACACCACCACCTCTATCCCCAGCACACCAAGCGTCGATAGTTTTTCTCGACGAATGTTCGGTACTTTTGAGTTTTTTTTTTAGCAGCATCTTATGCTTCTGTGGCTTATTTTCGGGTCGTATTCCCTTTTTTCGTTCTTTTCCTCCTTCAAACGCAGGGCAACCAACGCAACGTCTTCCTTATCAGAGTATTGCTGTGATGAGCAGGTACCCGAACCTAGATATGGACTGAATCGCAACTTTTTCTTCCCCCCCCAATCGGCGAGCCGCTCAAGATCAAGAGTCCGTCTTTTTTTTTTTTTTTTTTTTTTTTTTTCCTTCCATCGGGAAACACATAACCTAAGCGCACAAAAGTTGTTCTCTATTTCTTTCTGGACGCATAGTTCCGATTCGGGGATCCAGAACACCCCATCGCCTGGCGTCGTTGCATCGCGGTGTAGATGCAAAGTTGACATTGGGAGTTTCGCCTGATCGTTGAAGCAGCAAAGTCCCCGAGATGGAGGTAAAGGTTTGGATAGCGCCGCCTGTCTGAGCCCCGGGGACGACCGACGTGAACTGGCATCTTGGCCTTTTTCCTTTCTCGTCTTTTTTGCTTTCCTTAAAGTTTCCCCCTTTTTTCGCCTTGGCTTCCTTCTTGGTTGCACACCCTCTTTGAGAGAGTAAGGTTGAATGCTGAGAGACGGTTGGGTAGGGCGAGAATTGAGTTCTTCGGGAAGGGGGGACGACAGCCTTGGGGTGGTTTTTTGGGTTGTCGATGACTCGTTTTGATTCCTTTTAGTCTTTTCAACGTTCCGTTTGGGCTTGATGGTATTTCCCCCCAGTATTTGAGGGGGTTTACGTTGGGGATACGGTTTGGATACGTTTACTTTTTGGGGCCAACGCGGAGTCGCGTCGGCTTGTTCTCGCTGTTCGGATGGGAGAGTTCAATCAGTCTCTCCGCCGACGTACACGCAGTACCGGAGAGTGACGGACGGGCGGTCAAGTAGATTACGGGGTTCCTTGGAGTGCTGCAAGAGGCCCCGTGTGGCTAATGTCGGATAACCTCTCAGCCCCGGGTCTGAGATGATCGGTCTCTACTCCGGGCTGGAAAGTGGGGCGGTGCCGATCCGGAAGCCGGGGGACACACTTCCCGAGGCGGAGCATGGCCAGGCGGCTCTGGTGCCCTATTTCAAGTGAAGAATCGCCGCTCCCCGTACAGTGTACTCAGGGGAGGTAGTTGAGATTGGTCACCGAGGCTATGTGCCACGGGCAAAGGATGGACTAGGAGGATTAGGAGGAACCTGTGCAGGAGGATTGCCTTCCACTCAAGTGATCTTTGTCTATCTCCGTCTCACTCACAGCGCAGCACTCCTTTTGAAGGCCGGAGATATAAATCCGGACTTGGAGCTTATGAGCTGAAGAATTCGGGTGTTTTCGATATAAGGCTGCGGCGGAGGCGCTAGTTCGTCCTGGGTTTGTGGGTTGTTTGCTCTCTGCGCCTGGATCTTTTCTGCAAAATGTGAGACTGGGGTGGACTTATGACCAAGTGTTCCAGCCTGATTCCAATCCACCTCACAAGTACTTTGCGGCTTGAATGCAGGGATCATGCAACTTTCTTCAGGCCAGTTGAATTAACAGCGAAGCTAGCAACCGCCTGGTTCTGGACCCGTGGATCTGGCGTAGTAATTCTGCACCGGAAATCGTCGTAGCAAAAAGACATCTAACCCATTGATATGGAGGGGTAGTGAGGGGTGTGGGTAGCTAGCTTGGTTGTATCCAATCCTGCTTCGTTCCCAGCGCCTGTTGGTTGCTGCGCCGCGAGCTACGGGATTGTTTGTCAAACAATGCACTTGAAGAGGCTAGCGTCATCTCTGGACACCACTCTTTTTTGGACCCTCACTATCGAATTGAGGGATTTGAGCCGCAGGAAGTACAAGTACTAAGAGACCTCGGAGGAAACGAAAGAAGGGAATGAAGACGTTCGAACCAATGCTGTCCTGCTCTGTTGGAACGACCGACCGCCTGCGGATAACGTGCTGGTCGCGATGATGGAGCGAAAGCCGGCAAGTCCGGCGCAGTCAGGTAGTTCAATGGCTTGTTCGTTGTTGTATATAATCTATATTCAAGGAGACCAGCAGTGCAATGGCAAAGGCGAACAATGGCTTGTCATCAGTGATACCCCATCTCGCTGAACGAAGTCGTAACCGCCAGAATGCAGTTTGTCAATGTTCTTCTACGTCTCTCGTGGACCTACCGGTCCATCACGGCCCTCGCTGTGATCTCAGTCTTCCTCATCACCTTCACATACATCCGAAGCCCAAGAAGGCGTCTCCCACCGGGCCCGACGGGCATACCCCTCCTCGGCAATGCCCTCGACATCCTCAAAGATCCATGGTTGACTTTCGACAGCTGGATGAAGACTTATGGTATGCTCATTCCGTGGTCTCGTCCACTGGCCAAACACTAACACGGTTCAAACAGGCCCCATCATGCACTTCACCGCCGCAGGAAGCAACGTAGTCGTCCTCAATGACGTCAAAACCTCGTTCGACATCTTGGATCGTCGCGCGGCCGTCACGGCAGACCGGCCCGGAAACGTCGTCATCGACATGATGACCGGGTCCTGCTTCGTGCCGTTCCAAAGCCAGAATGCCATGTAGGTCACCCTACACTCACGGGGACTGGAGAACAACTTCCAAGACTCACTTTTTTTCTTTTTCTTTTTCATAGGTGGCTACGCATGCGCAAAGCCTCCCACACAGCGCTCCGCAACATCTCCTTCCCAGACATCCGCCTTGTTCAGCAAAAGGAGGCCACCCTCCTCGCCGCGGCCATGCTCAAGGACCCGCGGGACTGGCTGTCGCATCTGCATCGCGCGGTCTCGTCGGCGAATATGAACCTGGTGTACGGGACGCCTTCCCTCGCGTCGGCGAGCGATTTGAAGCTGGTCTGGCTCGAGGACTTTGTCGCGCGGCTGACCAAGGCTGCGCTGCCTGGTGCGCATCTGAGCCAGGTTTTCCCTTGGTTGAGACACGTGCCGTCTAGGTATGTTTTGGCAGATTGGGAAAAGTGCTTAATACGGCTGCGATGGTGGTGCTGATCTTCTCGGTCTAGATTTGCGCCTTGGAAGAGGCGGGTGGAGGACTCGTTTGCTGCAGATTCTGCTATTTTCGGGAGTTGGTTTGAAGAGGCCCGACTTGTGAGTGTGAATCAGAAGATTTCGATTCTTTTAAGAATCGAAAGGTGACTAACTAACCCTGCATGCAGAGAGGTATCAATGGCGGTAACTGCCTCGTTAAGAGCTTCGTCAAGGACCAGAGCCGGTGCAATCTGTCTGACACGGAAATCAACTGGCTCGCGGCGAGCGTCATGTAAGTCCGCCCGCGGGGTGTTATATCAGCCCCTTTGATGAGGTCACTCTTCTAACGGAAACATTCCAGCGCTGGGGCAAAGTCGATCACGGGCGTGCTGGAGTGGTGGATGTTGGCCATGGTCGTGTACCCAGAGGTGCAGCAGCTCGCCCAGGAGGAGCTGGATCGTGTGGTGGGACGCGAGGCGGCGCCGAACTTTGCCGATCACTATGGGAAGCTATCTTACATTCAAGCAATGGTGGGTTATCGACTTTACAGTAATTGTTCTCAATGGCCTTGCTCACACTCGAGATTGCCAGGTCAAGGAGTCACTTCGATGGCGACCCGTCGATCCCATAGGCCTCCCACACCAGAGCTCTGAAGTACGTTGCAACCTCTGCGCCTAACATCTCTCCATCGTCTGACTCTTGACTGTAGGATCTTTGGTACGAGGGACACTTCATACCAAAGGGCTCGCTGCTCATCCCCAACGTCTGGGCCATGAACCGCGACCCGCGCACGTACGGCCCGGACGCCCATCACTTCAACCCGGCAAGGTTCCTCGATCCCAAGACGGGGCATCTCAAGCCGCTGTCGGCGGAGACGAAAGATCAGGGCCACGTCACGTTTGGCTTCGGCCGTCGGTTGTGCGTCGGGCGCCAGATTGCGAATGAGGATCTCTTCATTACCATGGTGACGGTGCTCTGGGCGATGAAGATTGAGCCGAAGGCGGGTTACAACGGGTTGAATGTCTCTATAGATGTTGATGGATACGTCGATGACGGTGTTGTTGTGTAAGATTACCCTGGAGACTTGCTAGTTTGTGCTATTGCTAACTTTTGGTGATAGACGCCCCGTTCCGTTTGAGTGTACTACAAGGTCTCGATTTCCTGAGGCGTTCAAGGTCTTGCAGGCTGCCGAGAATCAAGGCGCAAGTTGAGGAGGTGCTGGTCTATGCTTCAATAAGGAGACATCGCGGATTAATGAGCCAGCTCTGCTATCCATTCTCCCCGTCGCAAGGCTAGAGGATGGCGACCTTGGCCACCCAGATGGCGCGATTCCAGATGTCCCAGGAGCAGCAAAGATAGTCATCATCTCAGCTAAGATCTTACTTTCAGTGAACTATCAGCGTCAAAAGTCCCGTATATCTACACCAATGGCAGTCATAAATTCCGTAGATGGCTCGGGGTCCTGTTGACCTGCTCTTCGTGATTATTGATACTTTAGCTCATGCCAAGCCCATGCGCCCCCCCTGCTACAAATTGCCTCTACCGGCACATGTTTCCATTCAAATTTTGGCGATTAAGCAGCTAGAGATTCACTAGAGTATTTATTTAACTTTCCTTCCAACCCAGCGTCTCCGTGGGTCTTTGAGAAACTCTCCAGTTCACTAATCAGACTATCACTCACCTTATCGTCACATTTCGGACAGTTGCACCTACCTGCCTTAATCTCCATAACTTCTGCTCGTTCCAAACCGTTGGTAAAGCTGTCCTATTTAGGAATTGTCCCGACCCTACTAGACCTCATGTTCCAGGACAGGAGCTACCGAAGGATATGTGATCGTCGTCTCTGCACCACGCAAGCACTTCAAGTTCGCTCGCTTAATTTGACCTTCGTCTGAACAATCACTTCACTCTTACACCATGCCGGAACCATGGGACGATCAGATCGCGCATTTCCAAGGGATCCCGTGGTGCGCCAAAGTCCTCTCGGAGCCAGGTATCGTCGCCAGACCCCTCGTCAGCCGCGAATTCGACCCAGACAACCGCATCTTTGAGTTCTGGGGCTCCACGCTCTTCAGCGCGGCCACGGTGCCCTTCTTCATCGGCTGCTTCCACATGCCCTCGCCACCGCCGGACACCGACGGACAATCACCTGACAACCGGCCTCTCGACGAACTGTACGTGAAGCAAGCCCGCTGCTTCCTGACTCTCGGTCACGGGCTGAGCACGCTGAAGAAGGAGTGGTGTCACGGCGGTGCTGTCGCGGCCATATTCGACGAGTGCATGGGCGCGATCGGGTTCGTCAACAAGTTGCTGGGGTTCATGCCCATGTTGCCGCAGGTCACGCAGAACTTGAACGTCACGTACATACAACCGGTCCCGACCATGTCGACGGTGGCTTGCACGACGGTCTTGAAGCGGATGGACGGGCCTAGGAAGTTCTTGGTCGAAGCGGAGATCACTGACGAGCATGGAACGGTTCTTGCCACGGCGGAGGCGTACTTTGTTGGTATGGAGAAGCGGAAGAAGAGAAAGGAGAAGCTGTGACGTGGCTTTGAGAACTTCAGTCGATAATCGCTTGGGGGTAGACTTTGCTTGTATGTAGACCTAAGCCGCCGAACCCCTTGGCCTGTATACATGAGAAGTTATACTACGGAAACCTTTGTATCCCCAAAGGCTGAACTGTCTCTCCAGACAGCCTCGAGACGCTAAAGCAAGCCTATCAGCCCTCCAAATACATCTTCCGCACACTCCCAAGCTCATGGTACACCGTAGGACCCCTTGAATAGGTATTTCCACTCATCATAACATGCACCATCCACTCCTCACTCTCAGGCGACCCATACGCCCCAAGATCGTGCCACGAGTGAACCGTCACAACCCCAAATGAAGCAAGAATCGTGTAGTCCATTACGCAACGCTCGCAGTGGCCGATCGTCTCGTACCCATGCCCGTCGACCGCCACGAGGCAGCCGCCCGGGACGTACATGGTCCCGAAATACACTCTAACATCTCTGGTCTGGCTCCGACTCCCATCGTTGACATTGACGTCGTTGTCGTGGAACACAAAGTGTTGTCTGGGATCCTCCAACATAACCATCAAGTGCGGGCAAACGCGCCTGAAGAACCCCGACCGAACCAAGGCGATCTCGCGGCTATGGCGGAAATCATGCTCCACGTGTACCAGGAACCTGCCGCCGACAGTCTTGGGCGTAACGGCGCACCCGCTCGAGGTGGACGTGAGGTGGATACCCCTAGGTTGGGGCACTCGCGATGTGAACGGCGCCATGATCTTCTCGAGGAGTCGTTGCTGGTTCTTATTCCTTTTCCCTCCCATACGGGTCAACTTTAGCGCGAGCTGTACGTGCATATGTCGGAGGTAATAACCCACTCCTTTCGAAGACGTGGTAAGCATTCTGCTGACAGGGAAAGCGGTTGCACTTTCTGTCCCCAGGGATATCTTGTGTACAAACCCTGTGGAGTTTGCAGCAGGAACCGCAGACCCAGTGGTTTGGCTTGGTGTACGCGAGACCCGTCCAGAAGGCGAGCTTTGCGTTGCGAGGGAGGGAGATGACAGCGAGGGTCCAGTCTCTTTGTGTGAGGGACCGGAGACCTCTGCAGGTGTGGGAGAGGACGAATTCGTCGTGTAGTGCGAGGGAGGCGAGGATTTGGTAGAGGATCTCGTTTGGGAGTGTGAGGATTGGCGGAGCGTTGTCTGGAGAGGACGACTTTGTTGTTTTTACGGGAGATTGTTTGAAGCGGTGGCTATGGCGGACAAGCAGCCGTCTGATACGATCCATCTTGCTTTGCTGAGATTGTGTAAGTTACAGCTAACAGACTGGGTAGGTGTCTTTCGAAGCTGATAGAGCTGTGACCGTGGTCTTCAAGGGATTTCTTGAAGGAAAAGTTGCAGAAATTCGAAGTTGGTCTCTCGAAGTAATTGGATCCGTGACAAGGAAAAGCCAGGTTGAAAAGTTTGACCACAGATTGAAAAGTCTTTAGTTCACTTGGCCATTCGGGCCCTCATCAACACCTGGAAGGACGGTTTGATTGAGATCTTGGTCCTCGTGGCACAATTCTGTCTTGAATTAACCTGGTGATACTCGTGCCGCAAAGCTTCGTACGACTTTTCGGGCTCACGATACCCTACGACTAACCCAAAATCGTCGCCTCTGTTGCTATCTTGAGTGTTAAGGTGGAATCGATGGGAGATTCGAGAATGATTGAGCGTCTTCATTGAGGAATACCTACAATCAACAGGAGCAGCTCACATGGCGACGAGGGAATAGATAGATCGGTCTCCATCAAGTTAATGCCTTCCTCTTCAAAACAAAAGTTCGTAGGCTCTGCTCATCAAGCTTCTGCTCCCGAGTCTGATCCCTCATCATCCTGATAGTATCCGGAAGGAAGCCTTGCTCCCATGTCCACCTTTGGCGATGGCAGAAACGCACAAATCTAGCTCGACCCGTCTCCCAGGGCCACGGGCCTTCATGTTTTTCCCGTCTAGAAGCTATCGACGAGCTCTTTACCCTCGCTAGGCGTTTTCCAGAATCTTTCGCGTGGTGAGTTGGTCAAAACCACTTGAATCTATTGATGATATCCTTCGGAGTCTTCTTTACCGAACAAAACAACAGGCCGAGTTCAATTGCCCTCCCGGAGCTACCCGTGATGGGTACGTGGAGGTCGCATCACAGCGTTGCAGATCCATTGTGACCGGAATCCATGTTCCACGCAAATCAACATCATCGGCCCAAAGGAAACCTTCCCACACCCCTATTTGTGTGAAGCCCCGTTGTGAGAAATTCCGTAAAGAGAGGCATTGCGGGGTACATGGGTAGAAGTTGGGGAACCCCACGACCGAGATGAAGTTCGTTCCTTAATCTGGTAAAGTGCTAGACCGGGGTATGCGTATGTATTCCCGCTTCTGGATCGCTGCCTGGGTATGCTGGCTGCTGTGATTGGCGTCACCCGCGACAATCTACACCGAAGGCGCGTCTGATGTAGGCTTACTCCGCGCGCTGAGAGATGTGACGGCAGCCGAAGCTCAGCTGTCAAAGCGCACGAGGAAAACAGTCGAGATATTCCACCAAGGCTTCTTGTCTGGTGAACATGTTCCCTCCCAGAACTTTGGGCATAAAAGTCGAGGCGCGTCGGTAGTCATTGAGACTTGACCAGATCGCATCGCTTCCTTCTGCGCCGTTATAGTCAGAGCGGTAAAGTCCTCTCCAGCATGTTGATCTCACGGCCGTCCATTCGAGCCTTAGTGGCAACGACTCTCCTCGCAAGTTATTGCTCTGCTGAATGCTGGCGAAACTCGACATGCGACGGGCCAAGCTCTGCCTCTTTTCCAGGAGGTTGGGACCAGTACAACTATGCTCCCGCCTCTCGAAACGTAACGCCAAAGTACATCTTATCTCTACCATCAGGAGCGAACATCTCCGTCTTCAACGCCCCAGTCAATCTTTCCAGCCAAATCGACGGCCTGGTTTTTGACTTCGGCGTCGAAGTAGGCGGCATCGTGACCATCGACTACAAGCTCTCCCAATCCAGCAACGCTACTCTCGGCCTCGCTTTCACAGAGGCAAAAAACTACATTGGCCGCAAGTCAGACAACTCGAATGGAGGGACCGGACAAGACGGTGCTCTCTCGTACAATATCACCTCGGATGCAGCAGAAAGCTACGTGATGCCCGATCCCAAGCTGCGCGGCGGCTTCCGTTATCTGACCTTATTTCTCACGCCTTCCGACTCGTCGTCTACCGTCTCGCTGGAGATCCGCAACATAAGCCTCGAGATCAGCTTCCAGCCGACGTGGTCCGACCTCAGGGCCTACCAGGGCTACTTCCACTCCAGCGAAGAGCTCCTCAACAAGATCTGGTACAGCGGGGCGTATACTATCCAGACAAATTCCGTCCCGGGCAAGACTGGTCGCGTGTCTGCGTCGAATGGGCGCACGAGCTGGCAAAACGACGCCTATATTGGGCCTGGGGAAACCGTTCTCTTGGATGGAGCGAAGCGTGATCGCTGGGTTTGGATTGGGGATATGGGGACGGCGGTGCCTTCTGCTTTTGTGAGCACCGGCGATATGGAGAGCACGAAGAATGCGCTCTTGGCGATCTACAACTACCAGGTAAGTTTGCCTCGAGATGTTGGCGTTGGAATCTGCTAATTGTCTCTCTCAATAGTCTACCGATGGCACCTTGCCAAAAGCCGGTCCCCCGTATCTCTCCAAGGACAGCGATAGTAGGTTGAGACTCGGTCAGAATGATGCCTAATATAGCTAATACTTCTGCCATAGCCTATCATCTGTGGACACTGGTCGGCACTTACAACTACTTCTTGTACACCGGCGACACGGATTTCATGGCTTCGATCTGGCCCAAGTACCTCAAAGCCATCAACCTCAGCAGGAGTAAAGTCACAGACAAGGGAATTATGAACGTGACTGGCGCTGCTGACTGGGGTCGATGGACATACTCCACTGAGCGCAGCTCAGCGAGCATGCTGTAGGCAATATGTTACTTTGATTCAAGAGCCGAGGTACTGACGCAATGACCAGATTGTATCGAGCACTGCGCACCGGCGCCGATATCGCCTCCTGGTCTCCTATCCTCACGAACGCAATCAGCTACCAGAAAGAGTGGACAAGTGCCGCGACCAAGCTGCAAACTTCCATTATGGCTGAGCTATGGGATGAGAGCAAGGGAGCGTTTAAGGAAAGTCCCAACAACACGTCGCTGTACCCTCAAGACGCGAACAGCATGGCAATCGTCTTTGGCGTCGTCTCCGCAGATAGTGACGAGGCGCAAAGTGTGTCCGACTACCTCGAGTCGAACTGGACCCCAATCGGCCCTCACTGCCCCGAACTCAAAAACAACGTGTCACCATTCATCTCCAGCATCGAGATCGCCTCGCATTTCCGGACGGGACGAGCCGATCGGGCGTTGCAGCTTATCCGCGACGCGTGGGGCTGGTACCTGAATAATCCCAACGGCACGCAGTCTACTGTCGTAGAGGGGTATCTCATCGATGGAACCTGGGGCTATAGAGGAGATCGGGGATACCGCAACGATTCGTCTTATATATCACATGCCCACGGATGGAGCAGTGGTCCGACTTCGACTATGACGGAGTATCTTGTCGGACTACGAGTCACTAAGCCTGGCGGAAGTGAGTGGCAGCTCAAGCCTGTATTGAGCGAGCTCTCGGAGGCCGAAGCTGGATTCACGACTAGCCTGGGCAAGTTTTCTGCAAAGTTCACGGTTGGTGATGGTGGAGAGGCTGTCGTTGAATGGGATACGCCGGCGTCGACTCGGGGATACTTGGTGTTGCCGGGACAGAAGTCCGTCTGGGTTGATGGTGGAAAGGGTAACAAGACTATCAGTGTCTAGCCAGCTTTTATACCATAAGGGTCTTTCTCCAGCTGCGCTCGCTTCACAAACTGATTTGAAGGGGATACCGGCTTTGTGGGAAAGCAACTGTGTGCCTGATTCTCTATGTAGCGGACTTCGACACGCCCATATGAGGATTTTCTCGGCAACATTGAAGCCGCAAGCAGGGAACTGCCTGGCTTGGATCGATTCTTGCAGCCGAGCAGCACCATCTGCTTTAGAATGAGGTTTCCCTCAGGGCGCCGTCGTCGTGACCTAGCGGGCCGAGACTAAGGGCTTTTTCGCAGGTTAATGATGACGCGTCTGTAAGTATTGACAGACGCCAAGCTTGCAAGCATAGAGAGGCATTCTTTAGAACTGGATTCGAGACCGGCTGATGTAAACCGACTCGCTATTAGGAAGGGGGCCGCGTCGGGTCCGTTTGCGATGACTACAGTACATGATGATGCCTTGAGAGCTTTCTCTGACGAAGCTGGTATCAAGACTGCTTGAGATCAATGACATGCGGTCGGGGAAGGATTTCAAGAGCACAAATTCACCTGAGAGATTGTGCCGCCTAAGACTTATTGACCTCTCTCATTTGACAACCAGAAAGGACTGTTAGTTTATGTACGAGGACTCCCAAAGTGACTGGTTTTATGTCCTATAGTACTCAACCGACTCGACGACCAGGACCAGGGAAGGGAACATTTGATATGTTATCCATGAGCAGACGAGAACGCTGCTGGTGTAGGATAGCATCAACACGTTTCAGTACGTCCATTGCTCTCAGCGCATTCTTCCTCTCAGTGTCCAACAAGAGCCCTCATAACGATGGGAGCAGATCATAGTGCAAATACCAACGACAAGAAGACTGTCACTCAACACCAGTGACCAAATACTGTCCAATACGGTTTGCCCTCAACACCATCCTACCGACAGAGCAGTCAAAACCGGCCCATTGGAGAACAAGACTCCAAATTACCTCATTGATAGATGACCTCACGACTCTGGTGATCTTGTTTCGAGTATGGACGCTCATCTTTGCGTCCTGTACTGTCCCCCCACGCAGGTGAAATCTAGAACTCAACCGACCTCGGTACGGCCGACGTGTCATCCGATGTTTCTTAACGCAGGATAGCAAGCTGCAAACCAGCAAGATGGCCCCGAAGGCCCGAAGGGGGGGGGATCGTCCCGTGCCTTGCGTCAGGGCAAGGGCCAGATGGAAGGGAGACAGCGAACCTCTTTTCGGGCAGTGAACCAAAGTTGGGCTGAAATGGAAGTCCCCAATCATGCATCATGCCAGCGCAGCGCAACGAACTACGTGTAACGGTCGAATCCGTTTTGCTTTCCCCATGGCCGGGCGGATCTTGGTGAGTCTCGCCGAAGTAGGTAGGCTGGCATTGAGGACATGGATTGGAACTACGGACGAAATACCTATGTGATTCTGACGTGAACGCCCCAAATTTTTTTTTTTTTTAAATTCTCCGGTATCTTCGGCCGGGGAAGAGGTAGCTGCAGTGCCGGAAGGGCTTGATGGACTCATAGAGAGCGATGACGCCGGGGAGGAACCGGAAGTGAAGTGGCCAGAAAAGTTTAAAAGATTGGATGGGTCTTGGTATCTCGGAAGAAGCAATGAGAAGCTTTCACCCCCAAAGGCAGGGCGAGACAAGGTAAGGCGCTGAAGGAAGCAAGAGGAGGGTTCTATCAAGCAAAAGTTCGGAAATGGGTCGATGGTGTTGAGCGTAGCGGGTCGCAGGGCGGCGAGGGAAAGGTAGTGAGATCTCTTTTCGGGTACCTTTTTGAAAGATTATGGAACGTTTGGGAACGTTCGACCAAGACTTTCCAATTTTAGAGGTTTCGTTTTGTTCCTTGTCTCTCGTCCCCTTTCCCTTTCTGCTTTTTGACATTCTCTGCATTCTGCATTTCAAAGGAAGGAAAAAGTGGGAAGCTTTCGCATCCGTGACTTCTACGAACCGGCGATGCCGCGATACATGGCCGAGATTACGGATACTGGGGAGAGAGACATACCCAGTTCGTGTGTATGATGCGCTGGCAGAACTCTGGGAATCGGGATCCCATCCTTCAAATCATCGTCCACGTGGTTGTTGCTTTTCTGGAAACTTTCTGGATGGGGAGGGGTTACACTCTCGACGGGTTTGGCAAGGCTGGGTTGCGTCTTCGTTGCTTTTTCATGCCAGACTACCACCCACACGACCCTGTCACATTCAAATCCTTTTGGAAGCAGGCAGACACATTCTGAGATGTTGAGGGACTTGATTAGGCGTTATGTACTCCGTAGGTCCGTAGGACTCGGCAGAACATTCTTTGAGAAGAGGAAGAAAACGTCATGCTTTGAGATCCACAGCAGAGGGAGAGCGCGCCAGAGAGGGAAAGGGTCATTGGGTATGCCGGCACAGACGGGACAGTCCTGTTACAATGTTGGAGGGCCTCCTGCCATCCGATGTTTCGCGGTTCCTGTCTGAGTTTGATCACCAGTTCATCCCAGCATGGCGAATCCCTTGTCCTGAGGTGTCAGTGTCTTGTCTCTCACTCCCAAGTCTCTCTGTCTTGCTGCCAAACCGATGATAGGCGCGCCCGCATATAGACCACATGACGAGCATGCGGCACAGCAGCACATGGAGTACACGAGACAGGAATGCACTGCGAGATATGCACGGGCGATCATCGACGCGAGGGTGCGCACAACGACGCGACAAGGCACTGCGACCTTAAACTTCTTTCCCCCTTCATCTCGACGTCGAGTGCAACTCGCAAGTATCGGCGTGGATTTGTGATCTCGTGCCCGAATGGAACCGAGAGGGGCTTGAGGGTGGCTGCTGACTGCCCGGCATCCTTCTGCGTGGGCTTTCATGCGGGATGCTTATGCTGCAGAAGGGGGAAGGGCAGAAATTTGACGGATCATCTAATGCAAGCCCCTCCAGCCACATCACTGTGTACGATGCAGCAAGCCTCTTCGTCAAAAAAGTCACCGCCATCGAGATCGGGTCTTATATCACATATGCCGCCGTACACGACGCGATGACTTCCCCCCACCACGGCTCGTTCCAAGGTGGAGGGGATAGCGAGAGAGATCTCGCGATCTCACGATCGATGTGGTCAAATGTCCGACCACGCTTTCTGAGCCGGTAACAAATTTCTCCGAGCCAATGAAGACGGGGGGGAGACAACACACCGCGGAGCCGAGTGGACAGAATATCCGAAATCACGCCTCCAGAAAGGCAAGCCGAAGGGGGGGACGTGGCGGGCAGATGAAGATCCCAAGATCGTGGCATGCGAGCGCAAGGACAGCTGAAGGAGGGGAGGGCCCGGAGGGCGGGCGCCAACAAACAACGCACAGATGTTGCGAAAATGATGTGTCTTTTTGGAGACATGCTCAATCCTTGCCGTTGAGCAGGGATATGTGCTCATGAAGGGATGGGTGGCAGGGGTGGTGATGGAAGACGGCGTTCCGAATCCTTGAGATAATTGCTTTTTCTTGCATTTTCTTTAACCAGAGTTTTTTTTTTGCTTGTCTTTGGAGGGAAGAGAAGTGAGAGAGATTCGGTCTCGGATTTTGGGGGCCTGGCTGAACGGTGGCTGATACATGAAATCGGTTACGATAACCTGAAGCAGTTCTAGTTCATCGATCATGTCGCTATCCGAGACTCAGGCACCGGGGGAACTAGGAGACTCTGACGTCTCTTGAGGCAAGGAGGCGGGGTTGGGCTGAGGCTCAACCAGAGGCGTTTGGGAGGCGTTTGGGAGGCGTTCAGGGAGCCAGAATACTAAACATGGCGACTTAGATCCAGATTCAATATTGATGGAAAAGGTTTGACAGGACGGAAGCTCCCGTTAGACAGCGTCCGATCTAGAGTACTTGGCTACTAGGGGGGAAATGATGTGGAAAGGGGGCCAGAGTTTGATATCGAAAAGAAAGGAAACGAAAGGAAGCTATGAGCGGGAAGACGGTAAGCTCCCGATAGAACCATGGATTCGGCTTTCCATGACGTCCCGAGCTGTGTCCATCGAGTCAGGAATGGAATTGCGTTTTCGATAGTATCCGTAGGAGCGATGCGCGGGTACGTCCGTAGAGTGAGCGGCTTCTGACGTGGCTGGCTGGCGGGCAAACAATGACCCAAACATGTCTTTATCCACGTGCCAAACTGCATCTGAAGATCAACATTACACCATGCCATTGCCACGCACAGTTTACTGTCGTGAATCAGAGTGAGAGCGAATCAGGAGGATGCAAGGAACGCCTGGGATGAGGGTACCTGGGAGACGTTGAAGGCGTGGCACGCCAAGTGTTTTGTCGAACGAGGATCGCATGGCAGATACCAGGCGAGGGACCAGGAGGGGGGATAGCGACGGATATTCCGAATCGAGGATTTGAAGGATGATTAGCCATGGTTTGATGAGTGACAACTGGAATCATGATTACTGGGTTGGGGTGGCCAAAAGTCCGTCGTCATGGACCAGGAACCTTGTGGGAGTAATGTTTCCTTCTTTCGCTACCTCATACTTGATGTGAGAGTTTTGGTCCGTCAAAAGTCTATCGTGCTTCTTCGTGTCAGTGCCACAATTCTGTGTTCGACGGTGCCTCTTCGTGGCTTACACTACAGACTCGGGAGATGGATGATGGTGAGATTCAGAGATGGGGATCTGCCGCAGGGGAAGGACGAGAGGACGGGGACAAGGGGGGCAAGTCTGTTCGGGGAATGAGGGGTCCGCGGTTCCGCGCCCGGGATTTCAACCCATGGCTTGTCTTGGCTCATCTTGAACTCTGTTTCTTTTGGTCACATCCCTCGTCTCTCCCGTGGCGGGATATGGTTGCTGGGAGCATGGCGTTTGGTATGCGGGCCCGGCGCGGGCGCGCGGGAAGACTGAATCGTGGGGGACCGCCTTTTAGTCGTAGCTTTGCAAACGAAAGCTTTGGACCTGACGATAAAGATGTGGATGTCTGACGAGGGCCGTGGTGCGGGTGCTGACGATGTTTGCTCTCCCGGGTCCATGGACGGAGATATGGCTGGAAATAGTCGAAGCGGGACAATTAGACGGATACACCTACATATCCATAACATCACCACATTTGCAATTACTCTACCTGCCTACCTAAGCTAAAACTACGGCTACCTACCTAATTGTTGAAGCAAACATACCGACTCGTCTCGTTCCAGACTTTTCGCCCGTTCTCCATGCAACCACCCACCCCCAATCACCCGCCCCCCTGGTCCAACGACACCACCTTCCCGGAATTCCCCCTCATTGAGAAATGATATCAGAAACGGTGATTACAAACCTTGTAAGTCCCAAGCCTCGCGCACTAGCCGAGGGAAGAAAGCACCTTCCACCTCAAAGAAACGAATAAGCGAGCCCCTCGGTTCCAGCCCTGTCAACCGCTTCCCTATTTTGCCCACCATGATATCCGTCCATTATGCTTCCATTGCAAGCGCCCTAGGCTAGACAAGTAGCATCAAAGCCCAAGTGACATCCATGTCCAGACCTCAAGCGCAAGAAGACGCCCGTCGCCGCAACCCACCGGGCCAACGCGGCTTCACGCACCCCTCGCACCCAGGACTAAGCACATCCGGCTCCTTACCCTCAAACAACTCGGGCCTGTACACATACCACTCGCGATAAAACTTCCACTCCTCGAGGAACTCGACCCAGTACGCAAGCTGCTCGACGAGCCAGCTATCACGGAGTCGTTCGCGGACCCACTCGGCCGTCTCCTCTTTTTTGCCTTGCTGCTGCCCGGGCCCCGCTCTCGGACCTCCCGCCCAGTTCCGGAGAAGGTCCGGCCGGACGTCGGCGACGCGCTCGGCCGTGTAGTAGACGAATTCGGCCCGTTTGCCCCGCGCCGTGAAGTACGGGACGGAGCCCCACTCCACGACGGCGCGCTGCTTGGTCAGCTCCACCACGCGCACCGTGCAGCAGGTGCATTTTGCCTGGTTGAGGAAGTCGCGGAGGACCGTCGAGGCCGAGGGCGTGCTGGTGCGTGGGTGGAGCTGCATGGTTGAGGCTGCGGAGTGATGGTGCTTTCTGCGGTTGTAGTGAGGCGGGCGAGTACCTGCGGCACGGGGACTCGACGGGCGAAGCTGTGTGTGGCATGTTAGTCTGTTGGTTGGTTGAGGCTTCAGGTGGATAGAGTTGAGAGAGAGACAGAGAATCGGTCATGTTGTGTGGCCGATGCTCAACTCAGTGTGGTGGGGTGAGAGTAAGAGAAAGGTGAACGAATAAAAAGTAAAGAGTGAGAAATCAAAAAAAGAGCTCACGAGATTTAGCGGTCGATCTGTCGTCATCTCTGACCTGCGAGGATATCCAGGGTCGACGGCAAGTAACAGACTCCAGAGACTCGTTTGTTTTGTTTTGTTTGTATCACCCCCGAAGAGAGCTTTTCTTTCTCCGGCTTTCCTTCCTGGCGGCCAAGGGTTTCGGTACCATCACCGACAACCAACACGACACGACTCGACACGACTCGACACACACGAGCGGATCCGATGCTAGTGCTGAAGCTGAAGCTGCGTGCGTACGAATACGTGCAAACTTCAAAACTGACGAGGCTGGCTTGGGCTGTAGAGGCGGCAGAACGGAATGGAGAGCTGGGATGGTGGAGAGATGAGCTGGAGCTTGGTGTCTTTGATCCCAAGGGAGAGAAAGGAAAACAAGGCCCGGCCGCCCCTCCAAAAAAGTCTCTTGAGGGGGGTTTTTTTTTGTTTTGCCCGCGAATGGATGGATCAACAATTCATTTATAGCAAGGTTTTGCTTCTCCCTCATGTCCCTCCCGTTACCCTAGTTCTGGCTCTGCGTGCCTTGTCCCCCATCATGTCTTACTCTTCTCGGCAAGGCTCGAGGTCTTTGCCATGAATATGAGGTCCAGCCTAGATGTTCTGCCATATATGTCACTGGGTGACTGGGTAAGTATGTGCCTGTAGCAATCCGTCATAGTATCTCAGGATGAGCGTCATAAGGGGGGTGTGAGCCTTGAAGATTCTACTCTGCTTTCTTGGTCGCACAAAAGGAAAAAGAAGAGTGATACGCGCAGGGAGAAGCGAAATATGTATGGCATGGTGTCAGTCGTGCTGCGTGGGCGTGGATTTTGGTGGGTGTCCCTCACATCATGCTATCGTTGCCACGGAATGCTTTCTTTTTCCGCCCCGTCTCTGTTGACACCCCATTTCGAGGAATGTTCACAACCCTGGCACCTTTCGCCGGGGTGGATTACCCGGGCGATCGTCCGCCCCAATCGCGCGGATACCCCATCTCGGGACGCCCGTCATATTTCATATTCTTGCTTCTCCGCCGCATGACAGCGCCACCCTTGTGAGAGAGTTCTCTTCTTTGGGAGCTTGTGACCAAAAGAAAGAGAAACATGGTGCCTGAGCCCAGTTTGCCAGTACCTATCCGTACCTTACCTACACAGTAGGTGTATCAAACAGCAAGCCTGGCGCGCCCACCCCCCCCCCCCCCCCCCCCCCCTCCGCTTCCCCTTCATCTCGCTGCCCAATCTTCGATACCACGCACATCTCTCGGGGATATGCCAAACAGGGATTCATGCAGAAGTGAGATTTCACACTACCGCCCACAATTTGCCCATAGCTTGGGCTCATTGGCTTGAAGCTGCGTGACCACACGGCACGTTACAGCATCAATATCGAGCTTTCTCAAGTCTCTCTCTCTGACAAAATCTAGAAAAGTACTGGGATTCCTCTGCTATTCGCTGGGATTGCTGTCTTCCGAAGGTGGTAGCGCCGGGAGAGATGGACCAACAAGGCTGGTGGTCCCAGGGAAAAGAATAATCAAAAAACCATTTGTGATCCCTCCGGGCTCGTGGATCGGATACTTGCTTTTCTTTCCTTTTCTTTCTGTGTCCTTCCTTGCAACCCAAAAAACACTCCAAGCCACTTAGCAAAAGGGCCCGTGGTCATCTGGGTGGCCTTTTGCCCATGCCTCCTCGGGGGTAGGTATCCGTACTTTGCTGACTCGAATCACTCATTCCACCCGTGTCGTCGGTGGCAACAGGCGTGGCCTGGTCTTGGAAATACCTAGCCACGGCAGAAAGAAAAGATTGCGGCAAACGTCACGAAGAGAGACAGCCCGATCCTAGTCGTGCCAGCTTTCTGCAAAGACCCTTGGGCTTGTGGGGAGGGGGGGCGGCGAGAGCAAATACGGCTGGTTGCTTTTGGGAGAGGAAGTACGGAGGTTGCTGAAAAAAGAAGAAGAAGAAGAAGGGAAAATGAAGGCTGATTATCCTACCTTTTTCTTTTGGTTTGAGACAAGGGCAAAAATCCACCGTTTCCCTTGATAATTTGGGAACCATCATCGATACGCAACACAAACAAAATGGGTGTATGTGTGTATTTGTACATACTGTCCCCATCTTTTTTCCTTTCTCGCAAAAGAAAACATCTTCCGAGGCCAGGCCCGCGAATGCCCATGCCTCACCCAGCATACGCCCGCCAAGTATTCCCAGATAGAGAGGGTGGGCAAAATATCGAAGGGCGCCCGGGGGTTGGAGCAGGATGGGAGATGGAGGTACTAAGTCGCGGCCTTTTTTTGATCTTATAGAATAATACCCTTGGACCCTTTCCCCTTAAGCCGTATCGATCCCGCTCCTGCAGCCACTTGAGCTTAAGATCTTACATATACCCGCTTGAACCATCACCTCGGGACGTCGTCTGACAGGCTGCTCTCGCTCACCGGTATCTGTCGGCCCTTGCAACTTGCCTTGACCGAGTTGTCAGGCCAAGTCCCCTCTTTTCAGTCTAAATCAACCTCTCGCACACATACACACACACACACTACCTTACTGTAGGTTCCGACGTCTGGCGGTCCATTCGGTTTGACGAAGTCCGATGCTGACGAGATGTTTTAATAGATTTATAACTACCGCCAACCTCACCCTTCTCTGTTTCATCAATATCTCTTCAGCCCCCCCCACCCGCCCCCACCGCCGCCCGTCATGTGCGAGTGGTACCGACGCAACTACGCCTGCGGGCACCACTTCACGGGCGCCTCCGAGTGGTGCTACCGGTACAGCCAGACGCAGAAGCGGTGCAAGGTGGTGGTGACGCAGGTCGACTACGACTCGTCTGTGTGCAAGAGCTGTATGAAGAAGGGCGTCAAGACCGAGGTGCCCTGGGAGCACATGATTGACCGGTCCAAATTCGACCCCAACCAGGAATGAGAGATGTCGACTACCACAATCATCATCACCATCGTCTTGCGTCGTCCGTCGTAACGAACCGTCGTAGTTCGTTACGACGGACGACGGAAACACCCACAAAACCTCACAACGCTTTTCCTAATCATGTATTTGTTCGACAAAAACCGCCTATCAAATGGCGAAAAAAACCCCTTTTTTTCATTTTTTTTCAGGTCGAGAGATGGATCCTCCCAAGGCGTATTTACGGGGCGGTAATCGGGGTCGTGTGGCCAGGCACGTCTATGGCTTATTAGAGCATCTCGTCGTCATGGGGAGCGGCGCACCTTATACCCATTTGATTTTTGTTTGAAAAACTTGTTGGACTGGATCATGTCCTTCTATGGCGGTTGCATTTGGAGTTTTGGAAGCGGGATCTTCAAAAAGAAAAGTGGTTTCAGTTTTCGCCTACCTTGGCTAGACTCTTATCTTTCCTGTGTAATGGTCGGTTGAGTCGATCTCACTAATGACGGATAGGATATCTATCACTCGTCTTTCGAGATATCTTTGCGTTTCTGCGTGCTGCTTGGTGAGCTTGGGTTGGTGTGGCGCGGTTATGCTGCGGCGTTGACTGTTCATTCATACTGACGATATCTTCCCTCACCTCGACGCAGGTATGATGTTGGCTTCGTGCTGTAGGTAGTGGTGTACTGAGTTGTGCATTGATCCTGCCACGGGGGTACGGAATGTCAAGTCTCAGATCTCAGACATGAAGCAACCTGGAGGGGTTGGTTAGCTGTGACAACTGGGTAGGACCTGGATATCTGTCTTGACTTTTGACAAATGACTGTCCGTGAAAGAGGTTCATGATCCATCTGCGTTCCGTAGTCAGCGGCACAGCGCGTGGTATCCCATGTGCAAGTCGCCTCTGCCCAGCCTAGACACGAGGTCGCTATCGCATGGTAGAAGGAGGCGAGGGGGAAGAGGAAGAGGAAGAGGAAGAGGAAGAGGTTTCGTAACAACCAGCAGTTGAGACTTTCTCCATATCGAACTGACACGGGTCCTCAGAGGTAAGACAAACGATTAGCACGAGCCGCGATCCAAGGTGCCAAGATCCACGATCCGCGTTCCACACGGCATCGAGATGAGGAGCACACGCGTGTGCATTTGGCTCAGCATGTTACGTTCAGGCTGAAACAGAGCTGACGGAAGGATCAGCCACTGAATATTTGAGCTTCTGGTTTCTGAAGTGGTCTGGCGAGGCTTGAGTAGTCGTGACAACGGCCTTCTACGACGAATGTTGATTCCTAGGTACCTAGTTTGCCTTGGTGAGCACGACCTCAGTATCATGTCACCTGGTGGCGTTGCTGGTCCCGCCTTTCCGGGAGGGATGCCGGAGATCCACTCGTTTCCAAGGTCTTTTATCGTAAATCAGCCGAAAGCTGAGGCAAGCCGGCCATCACAGCGTTCCAGGGCCGACGATGTTCGGCGCTGTGGTCGTTGAGCGTCGGAAGATGCACGGGCTTAGATCGGGCGCCCGTATCGTGGCAGTCACACGCGGCGCGGCGCGGCGCGGCGCTCCTTCCCTCCATGACCCGGCGGGCCCCACCTTGGTGTTTGATTACCTAATACTTTACACTGAGTTGCTCCGAACAGAAGCGTAGAACCACAACTCGAGAGCGGCGCGACTGACTCCCCACCACCTCGGGACCCCTCCACATCGGTAACGCGGCGCCCACACCAACAATCCAAAGAACGAGCTCTGAATGGCCCGTCGCCGCAGTCGGCCACTTGATCGCTGCTACTTTACTTTGACACCCCCACACAATGGAAAAGGATATCCACTCTTTCACAGACCATCAGCTAATCCCGTCAGAGGATTGGGGATGTAGTGGTGCACCCAAGATGGTGGTTACCCAATGCCAAACCACGCTCCTCCGGGTCTAGCCATGCCACTATCTGACTATCTAATTCGCCGAGTGAGAGAGAGGATTTTTTTTTCTCTCTCTACGGATAATCGTTGACTTATTTCGCGCGCAAATCTCGCTTGTTACTCACGCCACGCGCTTTGTATCATCGTCACCTTTCGACTTCTCTCTCTCTCTCTCTCTCTCACTCCACGTTGACAGATATTGAATTTTCACCGCAACTTTTGCGCTGCAGTCTCATTACCTTCTGTTTACTAGACAAGATTTAACATTGACAATCGCCTTTAAGCTGCAACCATGGGCCAACCATCCTTCGCGACGTCTAACGCCCTCATCTACGTCACTTATGGACTCTTCCTGTATGAACTCTGCACAGCTCTTCCAATCTCAACTCCCTTTATCGCTGCTGTTACCCCTCACCATTAGAGAGTGTATTGACACTAACATTCTTGCAGTATCACCGGCACTGCAATTGCGTGGAAGTTCCGCAACCAGTCCAAGGGAGAGTTCCTGTCTGGAAACAGAACTCAGACGGGTCAGGAACTCTTCCCTTTTGCATCATGAGAGTGAGAGAGTATGTGTTTATTGGGGTCAGGCGAGGCTGAGCCTTTTCGTCTCTGACGCCGGCCGCCCATGCGCTCTCAGCGCCGATGTACATGAACACTCTCTCCTCTCATTCGGAACCTCCAATGTGTAGCAAACTAACACACCTTCCCCGCAGCCTTCCCCCTGGCCCTCAACTTCATCGCCTCTGGTGAGTGAAGAAGACGAAGGCGGTCTAGCCACTGCGCTTCTTAACCCGATAGCAAAAGCATCTTCTTCGAGAAAGAAGAGCGGCAGAACGGCACGGAAGAACAGCAAAGACCACGAGACAACTTTCCCACGAACCACACGGCCAGCAGAAACGCAAGCCTACAACGGATGACATGAGATGATCGACGTCTCTGTCGCAACCCTCCCCGCGATCAGAGTACTTAACCATAAGACGAATGATCACGGGCGATGAATCCAAACGAGACTGACAGGCAGGTTCGTAACCCAACAACAAAGATCAACAATTACTCCTCGACTTCCACTCCCCCCACCCCCTTTTGTCTGATCGCATCTTCTGAACTGGGGAGACAATGCTACTAACCTTCTGGCCATACTGAAGCACACCTTGAGCGTGGCCAGAAATACCGTGGAAAACCCTCCCCCTTTCTGAAGATGTCATCAGAGAAAAGGGGGTGGGGGGATGGGATCATCGGGGATGCGGCTCACTACGGGCGCGGATTTGAAGCAGTCGCCGCGCATCCACCCTTTTTCGTTTTGTCGTCTCTGGAAAGCCCTTTTGAAGGCCTTTCGAGACGACACAAAAGAAGAGGAGATGCCGCGACTTGTGGAAATGAAGCTGAGATTGCACCGTAATTACTCGATCAAGTTAATGCTTGCGTGGGAAACGTGCTGCCGCTCCGAACATCTCTCCCCCCGCCCCTCCCCTCCCCTCCCTCTTGACCTTGCCCCGGCCTCGTGAAATACTAACACACCCAAGCCCTCGGCTCCGGCATCCTCTTCTCCTACCCGGAGCTCGCCACAATCACCGGCGTCCAGGGCGTCCTCGTCTACGCCCTCTCGTCCTCGCTCCCGCTCCTCATCTTCGCCGTCCTCGGCCCCATCATCCGCCGCAAGACGCCCGAGGGTTTCGTCCTCACGGCCTGGACGAGGCAGCGCTACGGCACCGTCGCCATGCTCTACCTCAGCTTCATGACCCTTGTCACGCTGTTTTTGTACATGGTCGCCGAGCTGTCCGCCATCGGGCAGGTCGTCAACGCCCTGACGAGTCTGGATGGCTTGCCCGTCATGATTGTGCAGTGCGTTATTACTACAATTTACACCTGTAAGTTTCCCGTACTCAGAAACTGAGAACATCCGATACAGACCTGACTAAACACATCCCACAGCGCTCGGCGGTTTCCGCATCTCCTTTGTGACGGACAACATCCAAGGTGCAATGGTAATCTGCCTCATCATCATCGTCGCAATCACAATGGGCGTCAAAACCGACATCGACACCTCCCTCATCGAAACCTCTGGCCTCCTCAAACCCACCCTCCTAGGCTGGCAACTCCTCTACATCCTCCCCATCTGCATCCTCACAAACGACTTCTTCCTCTCCGGCTTCTGGCTCCGCACCTTTGCCTCCAAAACAGACAAGGACCTCCGCGTAGGCGTCTCCATCGCCGTCGTCGTCATCCTCTGCATCCTGACCATGGTCGGCGTAACAGGCCTCGTCGCAGCCTGGTCCGGCGCCCTCCCGCTAGACCAAATCGCAGACAGCGGCTCCATCGCCTTCTTCCTCCTCCTCCAGCAGCTCCCCGCCTGGGTCGTCGGCATCGTCCTCGTCATGGTCTGCACCCTCTCCACCGCGGCCTTTGACAGCCTGCAATCCGCAATGGTCTCCTCCGCCTCCAACGACCTCTTCCGTAACCGCCTCAACATCTGGTGGATCCGCGCCGGCGTCGTCCTCATCATCTTCCCCACCGTCGTCATCGCCCTGAAAGCCCCCTCGGTCCTGCAAATCTACCTCATCTCAGACCTCGTCTCCGCCTCCGTCATCCCCGTCCTCGTTTTTGGATTAGTCGACCGCTTCTACTGGTGGCGCGGCTTCGAGGTCGTCGCCGGTGGGCTGGGCGGCATCCTCACCGTTTTCCTGTTCGGTCTCGTCTTCTACGACGGCGACGCGCAAAAGGCGGGCAACCTGCTCATTATCTCCGAGGGCCTGTACGCCAACGACTGGAGCGTGTTCGGCGCCTTTGTCGCTGCGCCCGTGGGTAGTTTCCTCTGGGGTTTCGGCGCGTTGGGATGCCGGCTGGCGTTCCAGTATGTTTTGGCCAAGAAGAGCGGTCGTCGGTTCGACGCTCTTGATCGGCCCATCGGGCCTGGGTTCACGCCGGAGGCTGACGGTACTCCTCGCTACGTTGAGAGGGATGAGTATGAGGCCAACTCTGAGGTTGAGGTCATCAAGCCCGCTGGCAAGTTCTTTTAAGGGCCGTGTCTCGTACTCGACGTTTGGCATGCTCTATAGGGCAAGAAAAGCACGAGTGTTTCGAGTAGTGTACAATCTACACTACTTGATACTTGAACAACAAACCGTATCGACATATGGACAGTGGAATAGATACCCATTGAGAGGGATATAACCCACGGAAAAGGAAGGAGAAGGGGGGGATTTTTGTTCTTGTATTTGGTGGTCGGAGAGTCTTTTGCTCCTATGCAATCAGGCTCGTTCTATAGCCAGCCATTTAATCAGACACATATAATACACTCATTACATGTTTTTGTTTTACTCCTCATACACATGTCCGCCACCGCATCAACCGTCGTCGTCCTCACCAACTGTGACCACAAAAAAGTCAGCCTCACAGACGACTTCCCTTTCTCTTGGCGTAGTCCTTCCTCTCCATATCCGCCATGCTCTGCTGCGTCAACTTCCATTCCTCAAGCGTCGTGGCCTGCGTGTTGCCCCAAACGATCCACTTCTTGGGCGCCCACGTCTTGGGGGCGAACTGCCTGGTCATGACAAAGTACTCGGTCTGCTGCTGCACCCGCAGCCCGCCCTTGACGGGCTTATTCGTCGACTTGTCAAACTTGTCCAGCTTCTGCGAGCTCGAGATGGCGACGACGACCTGCTGCATAATCGGCCCTTTGCCCATTGGCGGGATCATGGCGACCTTGTGGCTCACGATGCGCGGCGTGCCGTCGTACCGGAGCAGCTCCCACGTCAGCTTCTCCGTCGCCTTGCGGCGCGAGACGACGGCCGACAGGGTCTGGTAGAGGGCCGGGGTGCAGATCTCGCGGAGGGTGTCCTTGTCGCCCGCGGCCAGGGCCTCGCCCAGGCGGCGGTGGAGGGCCTTGGCTTCGGGGACGATCTTGGTGTAGCTGAGCTGGAGGCGCGGCTTCTTGACGTAGGTCGGCATGGAGGCGACCTTTGCGCCGAATATGGGGAGGAAGTCGTAGACGCGTTGTTTGAGGCGGGCGTAGGTGTATGCCCAGAGGGCCTTGGGGGACTTATCGAGTTGGGAGAAGGGGATGGGGACAAAGGTTCCTGTTTGAGCGCCGTGTTAACGCAGTTCTCTCTCTCTCTCTCTCTCTCTTCTCCTTTTGATCGTTTGCGCCCCCTTATCTCCTGCACATGTTCAACAACACTGCCTCGACGCTCGTAACGCACCTGGGAGCAAAATGTGTGCCATGGTCATGGACTTTTCAATCTCCTTGGCAGAGTACCCTCCATCAGCCTGTGAAGCTACCTTGTTCTGGCGCGAACTCATCCGCATATCCGCCGCGAATTTGGCGTAGCCCCTTGTCGCCGTCACGGTCATGGCAGGCGCCGCTGCTATCCTCTTGGCCGCGGGGAGAACTCTGGTGAATGGCTGCTGGGGGCGCATGGCGGCGCTGCCGAGGCCGAGCAGCGGCCTCGCGGATCGGTACATGGCGCGCGACGTGTTTGTCGGTCGGTCTCAATTCGTGGACGTCGGCTTATGCCAGTGTCGAGGTCGGCGTCGTCGAGCACGGGAGTGGGTGGACTCTGGGAATGGTCTGATTCCGAACAGGTCGTCCTGTCCTTACCGGGGAGCTCTATCACGAAGGCCTCTGCTGACCAAAAATTCCAATTGGAAAAATGGGTGGTCCAAGCTTTCGGGGGACATTTTTCGTCTTTGGGATCCACAATTCGGTCGGAATCCTCCGCGGCAAAGCTCATCGGGCGGAGTGCACGGTCCATGTTCTTGCCGCGATGGTCAGCCAAGCCACACTGTGGCTTCAAGTGCTTCGTTCCCCCGCTAAAGTCGACTTACACCAATAACAGCCTCGACAATCATCAAGCCACGTCGAGTGGATAATTGCTTCCAAAAATGACGACGAAGCAGGCACCGGCAGGGTTGTGGTATCCGTTCATGATGTGTGTTGGACTCCGCAATGAGGGAGAGAGAGGCATTCGTACCTTACGCTACGGATACGTACCCTTACCCACGGTCGGGCATGACCCTGCTGTCATTCAGTCATTGTCTCAATTCCGCATCCACAAGGGAAGCCCGACTAAAAGGTACCTGCTCATGTTGCTCACGCTGCCCAGTGCCCAGTGCTCAGGGACGACGTAGCAATCAAGATAATGTAAGGTAGCGAACCTGGAAGGTGGGAATATGGATGGATTGATGGAAGCTTCACCCTTCTTTTGGAATCCTCATTAATCCAAACCTTTTTCATTTTTCTAATCTGGTCTACAACCTCAGCCAATAGCTCATCACCTGGACCAGCTGGATTCGCCCATTTTGGTATTATCCCACGCACACACACACACACACATTCCCTCAATCGACACTTGTCGACGCAATTGCGGGCAGCGGCACGCGACCTACCTTACTTGACCTCCCTTCCCCCTCCTCGTCTTCGTCCTCGTCCGTCCTCCAAATAAGCGCCCCCCTAAGAGGGTCCCTCGCACTCGAACTCCAATTCCCTCCTTCACATCCCGGGCCGCCTCCAACTCTCGGCTGTTCTCCGTTCCTTGGAACATTCCTGTCCAAAAAAATAAGAATAGAGGGAGGAAATCGACCGCTCCCCCCCCGAGAAACGAGCTGCGAGACCACCCAATCCCAGCGCTGGACCTCGACGCCGAGACACAACCTTGGAAGCACCAGTGCGCCGAGCTACCTTTTCGTCTGCCACTTGGTAATTCTTGACTGGACCTTGCTTCTTCCAAACTTCCAGAAACCAGCTCCGCTCTGCTGCTACACTACGCTATTCGCCAACCTTACCTACCTTGGGGTTCAAGGTCCCAAAAGGCCTAGACGCCTACGGATACCGGACTCTGCGACCAGCCGACCATCTCACAATAGCTTCGCACCTAACCCTCCTCCTTGTCCATCACACGCTCTCCTCCACTCTCAGTCTGGCCCTCCTTTCCTTCGACACCTCTCCAACCTCCATGCCGCCATCGCCGCCGCCGCCGCCGCCGCCGCTGCAGACCACCGCATCCGAATCCCCTCCATCAATGGCAGCGCAATCCGTCGCAACACCACCGTCTCACCGAGCTTAGATGGCACCACTCGCGCGCGCCGTCTCAAATCACCACCTCCAGCACCAACACCACCACACAAATGGCAACCCGATCTCCACGAACGGCGCTCCTTCAGACCCAAACGCAGACGATACCACCCCCGGCCTCCCGCCGCCCTACAACCCGGACCTCGTCTCCTCCTCCCTCCTCGAACCCCGCATCGCCGTCGTCCTCAATGTCCCGAAACCATGGCGGCCCTGGCTCTTCGCCTGCCGCCTTCTCTCCATCGGCCCGGCAATCTTCTGGGCACTGCAGCCTGCCCTGACCCTCCTGGTTCAGATCATCCCCGTCGCCGTTCCGGGGGGCAAGAAGGCTGTTGATGCCGCCGCCGCTGCGGCCTCCGGGGTCGGGGTCGGCGGCGTCGTCGGCGGCGGGTTCGCGGGTAGCACGTGTCCCCCGCCCAATTGGCCCCCCGGACACCCCGAGATACCGTTCCCTTGGACTGAAATGTCCCTGGGACTTATGTGGGTATGTGGAAGCATGGTTCTTGTCTGGAGGAGTACACCACGACCTGTGCTGGGTTGTGCTGTTGCGTGAACCTCTAAAAATGATTTAAACGCTGACTTAGGTATCGTGTTAGTGCGGAGCGTCAGCGTACCTGTCCTTCTTCTTTATAGACTGCCTGATGTCACGATGGTACGTGATCGAACCTGACCTCTCTTCCCTACATGCTGTATTCCGTATCTGAGAAAGCTCGTCTAACACCAACCAGGCTCATCAACTACACCCCGCAAGCGACAATCATCCGCCTCCTAACAATCAACTCTACAAACGCCTTCCTCACCGAACGAATCCTCACATTCTCCGGCGGCTTCGAGGATCCAAGACTCCTACTCCCCGGTTGGGTCACCATAGCTACGGTCAGTTGAACCCCCTCCCCCGGCAACTTCCTATGCTTGGCCCCTTTCGAAAACATTAGTCAACATCCAACTAACAACCCGCCGTGTGCGCGAAAAAACAGACCCTCACAATAGCATACCACATCACCCAACGAAGCATAAACATCCAAAAGGAAACCTCCACCTCGATCAACATCTTCTCCATCGCCAGCTTCATCAGCATGATCTCCCTCCTCGCCCACCTCCACTACAACGGCTTAGACTACCCCGAGAAGCCATTCGAGTCCCTCGCCAGGTTCCTCCTGCAGCAATTTGAGCGTCTCACCAGCGAGGCTATACTGCCGTCGTATTCACCTTCCCATAGCGAGTTATAGGCGCGACGAACCGATTTGAGAGCATAGTCCTGTCTATTTGATATTTCTTGATGAATCTAGCGGGAACGAGATATAGGCCGTGATGGAAGCACGAGAAAGAGAGACAGACGACCTTGAAAAGCGATGAAAGCTGAGATGTGCTTCGAGTAACATGAGATACCCCAAATTCACAGTAATGCTGCAAATGAAGTGGTTTCCTCCTACATTGTGGTCACGTAGCTACGGCGTGAGAATTATCATGACATCCAGAGTACTCGACTCCCATGTAGGCGTTCGAGACGGGGGTAATGTGTCATCTGGCGTGCGGTCAATCGCAAACACTCGAGAAATCACATCATTCTGGACGAGGAATCACTCTGAAGACGATGTGAGCAAGACACTGGGAGAGACTTTCGACGGAGCGGAGGAGACTCCAAAATGATGGCGCACATCAAAACATGGAAAGAGAAAATTGGGACAAGTTTGTCATTTTCAAGGCTAAATCTCTGGACCACCCAAACTGTCAATGAGAGTACGGCGGGCCCTTGTGAGATGCTCGAGATCTAACTGTCTCGTCATGCGTCGAAGCTGACGCAAGTCGCCCTCAACCTCCACCGATAACCTCTTCCGTCGGTGGTAGGTATACCGTCCTACTACGTCACATCGGGTGCCGATACTGAGCGGCGTCGAAAGGCGGAAGGCTGCTATGCCTCGCGGCTATTCTCAGACCCGGACGTCAGCCGCAGGCGTTTTAGCCATGGCTGGTAGGAACGGTGGCGACTTGCGGCGTGCTTAGAAGCCGTGGACCTTGATGGTCTTACCATCCAATCCAAGTCCTTCCTTGGTGTTGATGAGGAACTCTTGCACGACCTTGCGCTGGTCACCCTGGAGCTGGATGACCTCGCCCATCTCGCTGTCAGCTACGATGGTGCCATTGCAAGCTAGACGGAGCAACGTTAGCGGGCTGCCATGTCATATTGGAGTCGAAGCGGGGTAATCCATACCAAATTGCTTCTTGATGACCTTGAGAATTTTCTTCTGGTCGAATTTCTTCGGGAGACCCTGAACGGTGGTCAAAGTCTTTCGTCCATTGCGCTCTGCAAGTCATGTGTTAGTAAGTGTATATGTGATTGGTTGCCTTGGTCGCCGCGCGTGGCACCGCTGTGTCGGGACGTGCGTCATTTGTGACTCTTGACACCAAGGATCGAAGGTTCGCGACGTACGTTGGATCCGAATATGGATATAGTTTTGAGACTGTTTGGTCTCGCCGGTGTCTTCGTCGGCTTCGGCGAAGGGGTCTAATGCGCGAAGATGGTCAGCATTCTGTCGGTCGAGGGGTGGTGGTCGGGGGGGTCAACGCGACGTGTTCCTGTTCCTCGAAGGAACACGGCGATGGCGATCGTGGATCGAAGGGAGACGACAGTGATAGCGACGTACCGTAGGACTTGAGATTTTCAATTGACATAAACTCGTCTGTTCGGGGGTGACCTTGGGAAACGGGTTGGGTGACGATTGTCGGGGGTTTAGCGACGGACGGCGTAGGGCGGTCTCGCTGTGATAAGTGATCGAGTAGTTGGGTTGTTAACACAAATGCGGGGGTTCGCGGCTGATCTGGCGGTGATCTGTTGTTGTTGATGTTGTATTTAGTCGATGGTGGGTGGTGAGAGACGGATGAAAGAGGGATCACTGGGCTGGGTGGTTATATACGTCGGAAGATTTATGGGGGGTGGACGGGGTCTGCAGATCAGTGACTGAAGTTAGGGTGGGCAGGCAGGCAGGCAGGCAGGCCGCAAAGCTGGTAACTTGGGACGGAAGGAATGACGGACTCGGGTTCGGGCGGGCACTGGACAGTCCTTCTGAACAGAGTCACAAAGAGCGCTGCAGTCAGGTACCTATCTTACCTTATCTGCCTGTCTTAGGTAGCGACGTGCGGATAAGGTACCTGGCAATGGGTCTTGGGCCCTGCCGTCCTGGCAAATAGTGACCAAACCGGGGGGGGGGGGGGGGGGCTTGGTAGAGGCGGGCACGAGGGGCAACTATTGCACAGGCCACTCGCCGTTTCCTGTGCCTGCCCTGGCTGCCGCTGAGCCAGTGGGACTCCAGAGACGGAATCGCGTGAACCGCTGACTGCGCCCGATAAGATACCTTCCATCGGAGAGATAAGGCAATGGAACCTGGAGCCTGCCTCTCCTCTCATTTTCTGCATCTTCTGCATCCTGCAGTCATTGGACATTCTCATCTTCGTTCCCTCGCACAGTTCAACGTGTTACTCACCCTCCTCCCATCATCCCAAACTCAGTCCTCGCAGTAAGCACGTTGTTCGTGACAAACCCGTCCGAGTCCTGCCTTGCATAAGATGACGACTATGGGTACGGATAAGTTGGTCGTCACACTTGGCACACACAAGCACAGTCACACCAACACCAGCACGGCCCACACCTAAGTTGTGGCTGGACTCGTCGACTCGCGCGCCGCCGCTGCGACCCCATGATTGTCCCTGGCTATTTGCGGTTTAGTCGGCGGGATGCCCAAACAATCTATGGATGCCATCTGCAGCTCGTATCTCGGCACTCTGCGCTACCCACCCCCCAAGTACAGCCACTGTGAGGCCTCTGCCAGCTCTGCCAGGACGTCGGCGCCACCGGAGCTTCCTCGATACATCGTACACCTGCTCGAGGTCTCTCGTCGGCAGCCACTACTTCCATCGATCACGCACTTTGGACTGAGACATGGGCAATCATCTGATAGGGAATACCCCTGGATGAGCGCCAGACCCAACGAGACACAATGCTGTTTGTTTCGTCTGCACGAGAAATCCTTCCTCCCTGCGTCTGCGGCGTCTGCATCGGCACCAGCTTCCAGACCTTACGCATCGATCAGTCCCGACCTCCTAATGACCATCTGCTGCCAGTCGGTCCTGACTGGGAACACCACTGGCCCTCCCGCTTTCGGCGCCCAGCCCTACGACTCACAAGTCTCCGGATGCGGGTCCACGATACGTCACTGGGAGCTGACTAGCCTGTCCCTGTCCACCAACACAATTCTACGAAGAGAACACTTCAGGCTGGCACGGTTGAGCTACAGCTTCGGTGCCGAAGCGCGCGAGTTACTTGATCGCAGAGTCACGAATTGGAAATTACAAGACTTGAATTTTCAATACAACTCGACAGTCGTTAGTCCAGCTCTGGCACCGGCAGATGGTCGACAAGCTTCAGATGAGTCAGGCCCAGCTTTCCCAAGGCTTCGACGGCATTTTTGTCCCGCAGCTTCTGCGTCTCCTTCTCCGACACCAGCACAAAGTCCTGCTTCAGTAACCAGCTACCCTCCTTGATGCTGTATTCCTCCGCCGTCGCCCTGTCCACCTTATCGAGGTCGATAATGAGACTCTTCTTGACACCAAAAACCGCATCCGATTTCTCATAGGGGTCTCCCCGGATATAGAGCGCGCTAGGTGATTGCGTCAGCCAGATCCATGATCCATCTCACCCAACCCTTGCCATCCGCATCGGAACGGAACGGGGCGTTACTGAAAGGGCTAGCTCCTTTGATGGAGGAAGAGATAAGGGCGGAGAAACCTACGTGATCAAGGGGTCCCAGCCTTCCTTTTGGAACATGAAGTGTAGATGCGCTGGCCGCCAGCAATGACGCCCAAGCAGCAACAGCAGCTTTCCAACCGGCCCATCATTGGGGACTGGGTAGCTCACGGGCTTGATTCCCTGGAAAAAGAAGCGGCCGTCCTTATCCGAGACCATGACACAGCGCTCGCTCGCTTCTGTCCTACCTTCATGCTGCACGTCGTAGTGACCACTGCTATCCGTCTCCCAGATGTCAATCTTGGCCCCGGAGATGGGGTTACCTTGTCGGTCCTTGACCGTGCACAAAACCAGCAGCGGTTCGCCCTCGGGATCTCCCGACATATTAGCTCCGTTCTCTAGAGTCGGCGCATCGTGTGTATGGAATGGTCCCAAGATGGAGCCTTCGGTAGTGTCGGGCAGCTTGGGGTGGTTGATGCCGTCGACGAGCATGGAGAGGCCTAGGATGTCGGAGAGGAGAATGAACTCCTGGTCGGGTGGTCAGCGTCGTCCGTCAAGAGTCCTTGGGTCCGCCATCTTCCCGATAGTTGAGGGTATCACGCGCCGACTTACATGCCGCACTTCGCTGCTGAGCTGTCCGCAGCCGACGAGGAAATTCAGCGCCGTCATCCATTCGTCGGTGCTCAACCGCGTCTCCCGCGCAAAGTCGTGCAAATGGTTGACCAGCCGTTCCATGAGGTACTTGAGTCGCGCATTGTCGCACTGCGAGTTGATGCGAACAGTGTTGGGTGTGATGTTGTCGATCGTGAGATCCAGGAGCTCTGGTGTAATTTGAGCCATTGTTACTTGCTAATTTTGCGTGGTCCAGATGAGAGAAACAGCAAGAGTCCAAATTTCTTTTCGGTTGCCCAATTGAGGTTTTCGCAGCTTTCCGTCTGCTCGTCTTGTCTGTCTTTAATATCTGGCACCCCGGATTTATCTGGAAAGGGTAGTGTTCTTAGCGGGAGGGGCACTCTTTATATAATGCTCTGTAATCGCTGCTTTCCGAGTGGGTTAACCTAGCTGTACCATGCGGTACCTTACTGATGGTCTGAACTGCGAGAGTCGGTCGACGGGTTATACCTTAGCCCCGACGCGGTAAATCCTCCTAACCGTGGACTCTGGAGGCAGTTGCATACTCGAGGGACCACGGATTTACGGAACAAGTCTCAAAGTCCTAGGATTAACTGCTTGGAAAGAGGTATGTCAGCATATTGTCATTTGATATTTCCCCCAGAGTCGAACATACGGTACTTATGCCATCCCCTTACCCCTCCCCCTCATCCCCAGCTAATCAGGTACACACACTACTTGGGGTGTTAATCCCCCTCGTCTGAGTCAATCTCTGACTTCATGCCCTGCGGGGTATTAGCTTTGCCCCGCCCCACAACCCGTCACGGCAGGTGAGGTCGGTGGAGGGGTAGTGAAGGTAGAGGCCCGAACGTCACCCACCGGCTTCTCGCTCGGGACTTGCGATAGGAGGGCGGAGTGTGTAAGCGGCCTTCTTCGGCACTCGCTCCGGCCGGGATGTCCGTCCCTGCATGATCATCACAACTCAAAGTTCATGACGGCGTCCGAGCTCTTCTCTTTTTCCCTCTCGTCCTCTTCAGGCCGCTTTTTTCGGCGGGTTTGGAGCGATGTCATGGTACTCGCACACTAAAGTATCTTAGTTTTCCTGATAAGGTACCTATTCGTAGTCTGCATTGGAAGTTTCCCGTAGCCGCCCATGGTGAAATAAGGTAAGGTCGATCCCGCCTTGATAGCCCGGCCAAGGCTGGGGAGGTGCGGCATGTGCCTGATCGCCCAGAAAAGAGGCCGTCCCTACTTGCTTCACCTGTTCACGGAAGGCCGGGATTGGGATTGGGATTGCTCTACAAGGTAATTACAGACAAGAAATGTAATTATAAGGTGCGTCCGATGTAAATGTTGCGCGCAAGTGCCATCGGATTAAGCTCCAGCCTGACTCCCCTCCCCCTTCCCTCTCCCCTTTCCTACCCTCCTTAAGGAGTAGTCCTTGGGGGGGCCTCTTCCCCGTACCCTCACCATCCCTGGAACGACCGTTATCCACCTTCTGGATTTCCCGAACCCAAACCGGGGTCGGTTTCAATCTACCATCCTTCAAACACTCACATCGACAAACGACCGAAGAGAACTTGAAGAGCGAATCTGCGAAGAGATATGGCTGCCGCTGGGCAACCTCTGGTGCGTTTCACGAGACAATCTTCCAACCGCATATTGTGTATTTCTATCTAAACTAACCGGTTTGGTTGTATTTTAGGAGCCCGATACATTTGATTCGGACTCGGCAATCTCGGAGGTATGTGTTTGTGTGTTCTGCCGAGCTTGTGTTCTGCCCCCCACCCAATCTTTACCTCATGTTTAGTTACGTGGCGGCGTTTCACGTCACATCCCGCGCAATTGGAGCTCCAAACATGCACCAGAAATACTCCCAAGATGCTTTCAAATGATTACCAGAAAACAGACTGACGATATTATGTCCCACAGCTTCGGAATGGCAGTACCGACTCACCTACTCCGAGCATGTTGACGGTGCTGGAGGAGAATGGCAGGACATACCATGCAATGAGTTCCGGGAGTGAGTAGTGCCCACCAGACAACCCCCAACGCGGTGTCTTTGACTAACGACATCAACACAGAATACCCGTTTCCCAACGACATTGTCGAGCAGGAACGCCTTGGTACGTATCTCCCCTTCTTTTCCGGGTGCAGTTTAGAAAAGATCTGAATCTCATATGTGTTTTCTCACCCAGATTTCCAGCACCTCATGTGGAGTGTGACGCTAGACGAAAAGCTCTGCCTATGTCCCAAGGGTTCACAGAAGGCAAAGCGCGTACTGGACGCCGGTACGGGCACCGGGATCTGGGCAATGGACTACGGTGAGAGACACCTCATTCTGTCTCGCCTCTCTTGCGGAATATGAAATTGACAGGGTGAAACTTAGCGGACGAACATCCGGAAGCCAAGGCAAGTTTGCGAGAGATTCTCGCCCTCCCTCCCGACGACTACTAACGCAAAGCTCAATCTAGGTCATTGGTGTCGATCTGAGCAACATTCAGCCTAAATGGTAAGGTCATTGAGTGAGGAACAAATCCGCCGTCGTACTAACAAGGAAATGACAGGACGCCTCCAAACTTGACTTGGGAGCTGGACGACCTAGAACAGGATTGGACTTGGTCTCAGCCGTTTGACTTCATCTTTGTCCGCATGCTAGCAGGGAGTCTGAAAAACTATCAAGACTTTGTGAATCAAGCTTTCGAGTATGTCTTAAGTTTTCTCCACGGTCACTCTCGCCCCTTTTCCTCTCATTCTACGTCTGCCATACCCGCTCAAAAACTTACCTCCCTAACCCCCAGAAACCTCGAACCAGGCGGCTACCTCGAAATGCAAGACCTAACCCTCCCCTACCGCTGCGACGACGCCAGCCTAACCCCAGGTTCACCAATCCACAAACTCTCCGACCTCTTTCTGCGAGGCGGCCGCGTCACAGGCCGCCACATGGACGCTGCCCCAACCTACGCCGCCATGATGCGCAACGCAGGCTTCGTCGACGTTGTCGAGACGCAGTTCAAGTGGCCCGTCAACGCGTGGCCTCGCGACCCGCACTTCAAGACGCTGGGGGCGTATACGCACTGTAACCTCGACCACGGGCTTGAAGGGCTTACGCTGGGGCTAGCGACGAGGAATCTGGGGTGGAGTAAAGAGGAGACGCTGCTTTTTTGCGCCACGGTGAGGAAGAGTTTGAGGAGTCATAGAGTGCATGCTTATGTTCCTTTGTGAGTGAAATTCATGACATGGTGAAGGTTTCGGCGTGCTGACTTGATAGATACGTTGTGTATGGGCGGAAGCCGACGGTGGCGGAGAGGAATGGTTCCAATCCGCCAGACGGTATACAGTAGCCTACGATGTTCTTGCTTGTTTGGGAAGTCGTCGGGACTAGGTAACGATTATAGACTTCAGGGCTGGCGGTTTGATGGGATTTCCATTTCGCATATGGATCATGGTGTTTAGGCGCATTGCATGGGGGGCATCATTCATCAACGGCGGAGGAAGGGCAAAGGGGCGTTTCATCACGGGAAGTACATGGAACATTTCATCGGTTCATCAGGAAAGCCATTTCGTTTTTCCATTACTCTAGCTAGGAAATAAGTCAGGCACGCCATCCGTCGGGTTGCGGTACAATGGAGACTCTCGGTATGGGTACGTGTGCACTGGTCCATCAATGAACGCGGTTCAAAGGAGATCAACATAGAGAAAGGCTGGAAATCGTGCTCTCAGGGCTGAGAAGAAACGCCTAACTTGAGTAAGTCGTCGAAGCAAGTGTTGCACCGATGAAAGATCCGGTTACAACGGTGCTAGACTCTGCTATGAGACCTAAGCACCCCGATTCCTCGCCCGACCACGAGATGCGAATCGATCCATGTGTTTCTTCCACCGAGCCCACCAGATGCCGCTCCTCTCCTGGACCACTGGACCGTCGGGCGACCCTGTATCGTCGTCGACAGGATCAGTTCCGCTGTGGTGTCGGAAAATGGGACCGAGTCCTCCCCAGGGGTAAGCTGGGCTTGAAGGTAGGGGCACGTTCGAGACGGTCGTGGTAGGCGTACCAGCCACGGAGAAGCTGGTATCGGGGATCCCACCGCTGTCTCTGCTCGGGTCGCTCAGGCGGCTTGTGGTTGATGTGATGAACGTCGTGGCTGGGTCTACAGATGTCCAGGTTCCTGTGGTGTTGTTAGAATGGCTACACTGGGCCGGGAGGGGTTGACTTACGATTTGTTTGGACTGAAGACGTCCACGTACTTGTGAACCCTGCCGACGATGCTATCGTGATGTTCTGCCACTTGGAAGTGCAGGAAGATCTAGGAGGGTACGCGGTGTTGTTTGAAGAGGCCGGTGGATAGGCCAAAGTTGGATCAGCGCTCGCCGTGGCGGAGGTGATGAGAATGCTTGTGGTGACGACCTGAGTTACGGTGCCGTTTGTGACGGTGACAGTGTTGCAGGGCGAAGGAGTTCCAGGAGGAAGGCCGTTGGAGTTGGTGAATGCTGGCCCCGCCGACTCGGTGAGAGATGGCGTGACTCCAGGGATAGAAAAAGGGGTTGAAGAGGGCCCAGATGGCGGCGCGGTGCCGGAAGAAATCCGAGAAGTAGATGAGTTGAAAGGCAAGAGTGTAGGTACAGGCAATATAGACACAGAAGAGAAGACGGATCCGGACACGGTCCAGGTGAAATGAGACGTTGAGATTGCTCCAGAGATGGTGGTTGAGTTGCTGAACGGAGGTAGCGAGAAGGAATTAGCAGTTGTAATGGGAGGGGATCCCGTTGAGAAGGCCGTGCTGTTCGTCGCTGTGGTCGTCGTCGTCGCGTTTTGTGGAATAGTCGGAGGAGCGGTGCCAGATGGTATTGTTGGTATACCAGTGGCGGACACCGCAGTTGAAGCTGTTGAATTTGGCCACTGACCCCAAGTTGAACTCGGATCCGTGGGAGCACTGAATGGTCCGCCTGTACCTCCCCAAGTGGCACTGACTCCTGTGCCGGCAGAAGTGCCAGTTGCGCCTGGGTTTGCCGTACCGTTTAAGGTTGGGAATGGCGGCAGGGAGACAATCGTGAGTGTCTGGGTAGTGCTACCATTTACTCCAGTGGTGGTCAAAGTAGTGACGGGGAGTCCTGATGCGGTGCCAGGGATCCAAGTTGGCCTTGGAATAGCAGTGAAATTCCCTGTTGTTGGGAATGGTGGCGAATTGACGGTGGAAGAAGTGCTATTGGATGTTTCTGGGGGCTCAGATGTTTGGAACAACGTTCCTGAAGCCCATGTGCCACTTCCTGTAGGTCCGGGCAGCGTGGTGGAATTCGTCGTAGGAAAAGGTGGCTGGTCACTTCCGATGGATGTGTAAGTGATGGCAGCCGTTCCTGAGTACACCGTGGAAGACGGCATAATAGAGGAATTTACCGCAGTGGGCCAGGGGATCTGGGTTGAATTGAATGTGGGGAAGGGGGCCGATGTCATTGAAGATGTCAGAATACGTGTGGCGTTGGCTGTAGACGTCTGCAGAACCGTCCCATTGGTGTCCGGGGACGAAGTAATGCTAGGAGTCACCCCCGTTGGCCACAAAGTAATTGTGCTGCCACCGCTCACGGTGATGACTGAGGCCGTGAGACTCCCTCTAGATGTTGAGTTTCTCCAAGGGAACGATGCCGAGGCTGAACTAGTAGTGTTTGACATACCAGTTGCCAACGAGGTGATGACAGGGATCGAGACGGTGCCAGTAAGTGATGCCTCGGTGGAGTTGAACGTTGGCCATGGAGGTAAAGTGGCCGAAGCTCCTATCGAAGTCCTATTAGAGGTTGCTGGATCCCCGGAGCGGCTTGTTGCCGTCCAAGTGACATTAGCACTGGCGGCCCACGTCGAATTCGGTAATTGAGGAGGGGTGGCAATGGTAGCAGTTATGCTTGTGTCACTTCCGATTGATGTAACAACTATTGTCCCTGCCGTGGAGCCTATCGCTGAAGTCATGGTCATGCTTGAGTTCCATGGAGCAGTGAGACCCGTGCCATTCGTGGAGATTGTGAATGGGGTACCTGACACTTGACTGCTCGCACTTTCCGTGGGCAATATTCGAGTAGTTGTGTTCGAAGCAGGATATGGCGCCGTTGTGCTGGAGCTGTTGGCCGCCGAAGGAAATGTACCGGTGCCAGATGGGACGGGCGGTGGGCTTTCTTCGCTAATGGAGGCAAGCGTACCGCTTGGCCATATGGTCGAGTTAGCCGGAAACCATGGTGCGGCAGTGACAGCAATACTCGTTCGGATGACGGACCCTGTTCCTGAGATGACGAGAGTCGAAGTTGGCAGAATCACGGTGATGACGGGATGGGAAGTCCAGTTTCCGGTCGGGCTACTTGAAAATGTTGCGTTTGCATGGCCAACAATCGTTGAGGAATTGACTGGCGGAGTGCTTGGCAAACCAGTAAGGGTAACCGGGCTTGACATCCCAGTTCCAGTGATGCTGCCGATGGTCGAGTTAGGTACGGGCCACTGATGACTTGACGTCCCGGCCGTGGGCAGAACTCCAGATCCTGTGCCTACAATAGTCGAGACAAAGACTGTGCCATCATTGGAAACAGTGATTGTCGAGTTCGGCAAGGGGAATGGCACAACCGACCTCGAGGCTGAGTTGCTGAAAGTCGTAGCCGTGGCATTGAAGGTGCTGTTGAGAGCGCTTGAGACTCGAGAGCTTATTGATATGCTGGTGGGAACGCCTGTACCAAGTGTGGTCGGACTGCCCGTGACCGGAGCACCCGATTGTGTGCTATTCCATGCGACAGTGGCTTGTAGGGTATGTGAAAGAGTTGTCAACCGAACGGTTCCATTGGAGCTGAGAGTGACGACAGAAGGTACTACGATAAGTGAACTCGCGGGCTTTGAGAAGCCAACGGAAGACGTTCTCAATGAGGACGAGTTGGGTGGGTAAGTCTGAGAGTTGGTCACCAAGGTGGGAAAAGCAGTTGAATTCCAGAGCGTAGGCCACGGACTTTCCACTGGCTGAGTCAACGTAGGAGCTTGACCAGAAGAGACGAAGAGAGATGTTATTGACGACGACGTATTGAAAGAGGACAAAACTGAGCCACCGGTGGCAGTTTGTATGTGGGACGATGAATTGAACACGGTGAACGTTGGCGAGGACGTGGAAGTCGCTGATGCCTGACCAGTCAGAGATACGGCCGTGCTGTTGTTGACTTCGGACACTGAAGCAAGTGTGCCAGATATAGTCTCTGAAGGAGCTGTCTGGTTGGCGTTTAGTGACGTTGCCGGAATGGACGACGTTGCGGTTCTGGTCGAAGTGTTGGCTGGCGGCCAGAGAGTTGACTCCGTCAAAATAGAGGACGAGACACTTGAGGCAATGGAGATGGACGAATTCGATGACACAGTAGTGCTGGCCACCTTGGAAGGTGTAGTAGACGAAGGACTATCAGAATTTGGCGGGTATGTGACAGTATCGGAGAGTGTGGCAGTAGCTCCAGCAGAGGCAGTCAAGCTTAGAGTAACAGAATCGGAGACGCCATATGTGCTGGAGTCGCTAGCTACCGAGCTGACTTCAGTTGAAGACGCTGCGCATGTTAGTCTGGGAATAGCATCAGAAAGATATAACCAACTAACCATAGTCACTGTTCGTAGAGGGAACCACAGTCGACGGCGGCTGGTCACCGTAAGAGGTGGGAGGCGGAGGCAGTGGGTAAGTGTATCCATAGTCGTAGCTGATGAAGGCATTGGGATCCTGAGGGCTCCTTGCGTGATGCTCAACATTGAGGGCAGCGGCGTTGGACCCGGCTTCGTCTTGCTGCTTGAGGTCATCGGCGTTGGCAGAAGCCGACACGCCTATAGCAAAGGACAGCAGCCCGATCACGGTCGCGAGAACGACCTTGAGACATGAGGCTCGCATATTCGGCATCCCTTCTGAAGCATCATCAGTACAGTATGCATATTGGCAGAGTCTTTATGGCCATACCTGACAAGTCACTGATGTTAGGGGTATTCAAACAAACGAAAGTCTCTACTGCGAATGGAGGTGAACGAATGAAAGCCGGCTCACTCGTATTCGAGTGACGGGGAATGGGTGCAGGAGAAGAAACGAAGGAGGGGGAAGGGAAAGGACGAGAGAGAAGGAGAAGGGTGAAGAAGGCCGAGGTGGGAAAACGGGGGAAAAAATTATGTGTTCAGTTATTGGAAGAAGGGGAAGGCACAGTTATAGCAAGAGCTCACGACTTGCCAAATGGATGGAAGGTGTGATGTCGGGAAGGCACTACCACCCACTGGTTTACACATGCCCCTCCTTCCTCTTCCCAATTCATGACAGCTCCCATCTTCCTCGTCCGGTCAGTTCGGTTTCTGCCTTATCTTGCAAGACAACTTTCTATCACACCAGGAATCGTAAGTTTCTACTTCGTTCAGTCTTACCAGGAACAGTGAGAAATTGCCGAAGCGGGCCGAAGAGAGGCAGTCAAAATACCCTTCGAGTTATGTGCCTATGCTGGTGAGGAATCATGTAAAAACCGAGCTTCTAAACATTGAATTCACTGTTCGCGATGTCAGAAACTTGCGAAGAATGGAGCGGCTTGTACTCGAGGCCAACCAGGTGGTCACAAGAGAAGGATACCCGACTGCTATGCGACCTGCAGACAGAGTCCGACACAGCGTACAGAAACGAGTTCGCAGTATGATGATCGGCTCGAGGTCATCGACCACATCTATGCCATACATCCGTATCACTGAAACGAGCAGAAGGACGACCTTCTCGTCCGGTACCTCTTTGGGAGACATCTTCATCGACTATGAAAAGCCAGTGTTGGTGTAGAGGCTTTGCATCACCAGTCTTGCCCCTCCGAATCTGAATCTGTTCCTGAGTAAGATATCACCGAAGAACACGCATATTGTCATCCACTCGCAAGCCACCAAGCACAGCGTGGCATGGTGGCAATCACAGACACGGGACGTTGTCCCGACGTAGTTTCACTCACTCATGATCACCCACCGGTGGCCAACCAGACTGCCACTCGTCGGTGAGACTCGAGCGGTCTCTCCGGCGGGATCTTGGAGTGTTTGCACCGAGTCTTGTCCCCTAATCATCCCCTGGTGCCGAATACAAACGTAACCAGACGTAGTCGTGAAAGCCGATCTTTGACAATGCGTGACATGTAGCCACCCGTGTACCTCGAAACAAGATTACCTGTCCCTGAAGCGAGTAACACATCATATTGGCAGGCTCAGTGCGGAAGCTCGCGATGTCTCGTACTCTCGTTTGGTTTATGCTCGCGCCAGATGAGTCTCGCTTGATTGATTACATGGACTGCTTCGCCGGAGCACATGTCAATATAAGGTGCGAGGTGGCAAACGTCTCGATCTACAGCGCGATTATCTAGCTGGTGTTCTACGAACTACAACAAAGCCGGTGCTGCAGTCTCCAAGACAAGTCGCGGCGGCCGAAATTAATGCAAGACTTCAAGAGTGGGACATCAAAGGTACCGTAACGCGCAGAGTTAAAGTTCGTAAATTAATTATTACGGTAAAAGTTCCTTTTTTTCTTTCGTGTTCGTTCGGAGCTTCTTAGCTCCTCTTCATCGATTGCTTCTAAACGTACGCTTCGTTAGATATGCCTCGCGCATCTAACAACACCGACGAGAATTGTAAGTGCTGTTCAGCTGAAAGCTTCGGCCCATGTTGCATTGAATCCGTCACTGCTGTCAAGATGCTGTGGCACGAAGATCCGGTCAAAAGAGGGGTCGGTATCTCCTAATGCCAAGCCGATCCCGCCAAAAAAAACTTAGAGATGACTCCACGATGCAGTCATCCGTCGTTTACTCGGCCTTTTGTGCCGTCTCTCGAAGCGTGGGAGCCGTGCTATCCGTCATGGAAGTATCCTTGGCCTCGATATCGGCGGCCCAGAGAGCAGCACCGACTACAGACAGCTGTCAGTGATTGCAGGAGACGAAAGTTCAATCTTCGCCAAACATACCTGCGTTTGTGAATGTGAAGATAACGCTAGCGAAAGGGATCATCTCGAGGGCGGTTGCGACTAGGCCAAAGCTGTGACAGAAGTCAGTGAAATGCACAGAACACATGCGCGGATGGACCCCAAACATACGCAGTGTAAGGTCCGGCGTGTCTCTTCAGCCAGTCGGCTCTTCTGGAAGACGACCAGTTCTTGAGTTGGAAGTACTGGGTTGCATGGTCAGCATGACATCCGGGAATCTGGAAAGCAGGAAACATACACGACCGTGGACGGCCTGGCCTCTGCTACGAGCTATAGAAACATTAGCTTTGGAGTACCCGGAAGCGGCATGCAAGGCATACCCTGGAGAGAGATGAAGATGACGGTTCCCACGACAGGAATGAAGTTCAAGGGCAGGTAGATGAGGTATCTGATGAGAGCCTTGGGGCTGTATTTCTCAAAGGGGCTCTTGAGAACCTTGCCCAGCTTCTGCATGGGGTCAGACCCGGGCCTGAGCTGTCTGCCTTCCCTCACAATACCGTCCTCATCCTTGAGAAGAAGAGTGCCGTCAAAGGTGTCCAAGATCGCGTCCTGGAGTAGGAAGGATCGCGAGAGGAAGTTGATGATTGCCGAACTCTCGTTCAGGATCAAAAAGACGGTGGTGAAGACAGCTAGCGGGCCGTTGACGAAAACGAGGAGCGCAAGCTGTGGCACGTAGGTGAAGACGAACATGCCAGTGACGACACCGGCAGACAGGAGCAGGTAGGATCCGATGCGCGACAAGAGGGGCTTCCACAGCGTTCGGTGGGTTGCGAAGTAGATGATTCCCTTGATGGGGTACAGGTAGGCCTTGCTTTTGGCAGCATCGGCGACCAAACCTCTGGCCTTGTCGTAGTCCTCTTGCCTGTCATACGTATGTTAGATTGAAGCGCGAGTACGCGAGAAGGTAGAGAACACGTACAGGACTTCCTGGGCCTTGGTCTGCACAGAGTCCACCATTCTGTTCCTTCCGCCGGAGCTGGAAGCCTGGCCCTGGGAAACAGTTCGTTCGTCAGACATCGTAGGTATAGCTTTCGTCGAGGTGTCGTTTGAGGTTGTAGGAGAGGCTTTTAAAGTGACTTGGTGCTGGTAGACAGAACGACGCGGAGGAGGGGAAGCTGGGGAAGGGACTTTGCGACGTGGCTTGGCCAAGGCACAGCTCTGGCGTATTTATTTGGCGCCGAGGATCGTGATCTGACTCCTGCGTGCCTGCCAAAGGCCAGCTACGGCAGCTGAGGTACGTAGAGCTAGCTCCCTCGCTTTGGTTTGGTGATGGCTGTATGACGTAGTGTTGTGGCGGGAGCTTGACTTCTCTGTGGCTGCATGCGATGTGGCTGAAAAACGGACCAAACGTTCCGCAGGGAAACCTTGGCAGCAGCAGCAAAACACGACATGGTGCAGATCAATTCTCTTTGACATTGGTCTAGACTTTCATCTGGTTCCTAGCACGGATTCGTAACTTGACAGCGAACCGCACGAGTCTGTTGGTGCAATGTAAACAAATGCGAATCACGAATCGCCCAATAAGGTAGGTCTAGTTGGGCTCGATGCTTGCTAATGACAGGGGTCTTGTAGGTGTATAATTCAGGTACGATCAGCTGAAGTCAATTCCCTCTCCACACCTTTCTTCACTCTAAATGCCCCCACTGAATTACCACTGACCCCTCCAAAGATTCTCAGCACGATCCAAGAAAACACAGTCTAGCCGACCTCAACCTACCCACCATGCCTCTTGATCCTCCGCGTCTCACAAACTCAATGATGGGCATTGAACGCCCGGCCTGAACCCGACGAGCCTAGTCCCTCAGGCCTGGAGCTGGCCGGCATGATGGTGAGGGCGGCGTCGCCCAACCGGCGGAAGTCATCCTCGCGGGCGTCGTGAGCGTTGTCGACAGCCTTAAAGGCGTGAGAGATACCGTGCCGAGCATCACCCTGATGAGCGTCGCGGTGAAGTTCGTCAATCACGAGCCGAACCAAGTGGTCCGATCGCCCGATCGCTCGCGGGTCCCGTCCCGCCGTCCAGACTGCTCTTCTAAGGCGGCGAGAGGCTTCTGCCTTCTCCTCGTCCAGTCTTCTGATATCGACCAAGGCCTTCGAGATCTTTGAGAGGCCTGCGGTGGCAGGCGGGCGGCCGCTTACACTTGGTCCTGCGAAGATCGGGGCGCAATGAATCTCGCCCATCTCTTCGTCGTCGGACGCCAGGTTATAGGCCATCGAAGTGTCAGCTTCCGAAGCCGCTGACTGTTGATCGTCTTGCAGCTAGGCGTCGTGGTAAGCTCTAGTTGCCTTATCTACATGCCGATAAAGGTCTTTGATGGCTGCGCGGTCCTAACAACGACTGTGAGCAGAAGTCTAACGAGAAGATTCGGCTGTCTGCCTTCTAAACTTGCCTGGCTAAAAGTTTCGCCTTCAGCCTGTTCCGCTAGCATGACCGCCCTGGTCTTCTCGATAATCTCCAATGCTTGAGACCACTGCTCCTTCTGAATCTAGATGGAAATTAGTACCTCAGAACATTCACAAAAGAGACGGAGTTAATACCATGAGACAGGGCTTTTTTTCTCTGTTGATTCCGGCACATCTTCCGCATTTCAAAATTGGAGCGTTGAAACGCGAGTGAGCAGATAGTCAATGAATCGGTTACTGCGCAATACGTACGTCTTCTCTCACAGTAGTAGTTCGCAGGCGGCTTCTGCTTAGCTCGGTAGACGCCAGCGTAGAACCCGAGGCATCGCAGGCACCAGCGGTTGTTCTCGTTCAATGAAGCAGCTGAAGCTGCTGATCGGGGAAACATCTTTCTGAAGGCAAGTTCGACTGTCGACTGATCTTGCTGTGGTTGATGGTGGAGGAAAGGGCAATTCCTGGAGGTTGCGAGGAAAAGGGCACCATTTTATGCCTCCAGAAGGCCAGTGAAGAAGACTTTTGGGAATCGCCAGGTGCTTCTAGCTGAGGTAGGCATGTCTAAGAACCGCATGCGCGGTTAGGCAGCTGACCTTGATCATACTTTCAACTTTCAACATCAATGCCTACCTTACATCTGAAAGGCGTCTTGAAGAAATGTTCTTTATCAATTCAAGCTAACTTCAACGCGGTCTCAAACGAGCTTCAAGGAAATCACACTTTGGCAGGATCTCCAACAAGTCTTGAGGCAGTTTCAGAGTTCACTTGCATGCCTTGTTTGACTTCTGAAAGACGAATGAATCAGAATTCGATTGTAGTATTATGCACATCATGTAATATGATGCTATTAAGAATTCCGGGCTCTTTGACACTTCCAAGGCAACCCTGTTTAATCAACTTCCAACAACGGCGAACTTTGACACACTACGCCGCCTGCGCCTCGGCGATAATCACATCAGCAGCCTTCTCACTCGCCATGTAGATACCAAGAACGATATAGAACCCAGGAATCTTCGGGAAGATGGAGGCATCGACCACGCGCAATCCGTCAACCCCACGGACCTTAAAGTTGGAATCCAGGACGGCAAGCGGGTCATCATCGGCACCAATAGGGGCAGTACAGCTAGCATGATGACCCCAGGCCTCGTCCTTGGCAAACTGCTTGAGGTCAGCCTCGGACGAGATCTCCTTGGGCGGCCAGATGCGCTCAAAAGAGCCGTCAAGCGGAATCAGGTTCTCAAACGCCTCGATGCCGTACTGCATTCCCTCGTACACGGCCTGAAGATCTTCCTCGCCACCGATGCCCTCGAATAAGCTGTGGAAGGTAATGTTGGGCATGTCGCGCGGGTTGGTGCTCGTCAGGTTGACCACGCCGGCGTTATTACGGCTGTGGCCCTTGAGGGTAAGCCAGGTCCAGACGCTTAGGTCGGCGAGGGCGTGCTCCGCGTAGTTGGGGAAGTATCCTTTGAAGTAGGTCGGTACACCGCCGAGGAAGAGGTCTGGGTTGCCATTCTCCGCGACGGAAGAGTGCTTGAAGTACCCGAAAGCGATGCCATTGGTCGTGTAGCCGCCCTTGAGACCGCCGATGCCGGACTGCCATTGGGAGAAGCAGGGGTCCTCGCCGTTGTGGGTGCCGTTCATGTCGAGGAAGGTGCACTTCTCGAGGAGGGAGAAGTCAGTGGGTGCTTTGCCTACGATGCCGACCTCGTACCGATCCTGCATGTTGCCGCCGACACCGGGGAGGTCTTTGACGACGGGGATATCAAAGGATTCAAGTTCTGAAGCAGGGCCGATGCCACTGAGCTTGAGCAGTTGAGGGGTGTTAAAGGTGCCCGCGGACACGATGACTTCCTTGCTGGCGAACACGCGTCCGGGGACGCCGCCGTCCTCCTTGGTGGCTCGGGGATCGGCACGGTACAGGCTCTTGCCCACGAGGTACTCCACGCCAGTTGCCTTGGGCTTATCACCCGTCGTGTCAAAGTTGACCTTGGTCACGAGCGTGTTGAGAGCCACATCCAACTTGTACTTCTTGGATCCGTCCTCGTTGGTCGCAGTGACAACGTCGAAGATGAAGTCGCGGGGGGATGAGCGAGTGAAGGAAGGGTCCTTCATGGAGAGGGGGATCTGGTATATCTTCTCTCCACTGTCACGTTCGGGTGAGTCGTTGTTGACGTCGACGGCCAAGATTTCGAGGAGACCAGTGACGGTGTTGACTAGCTTGCCGAGGAGTGACTTGCCCATGGTGGTGGCGGCAGCGAGGACCAAAGACAGTACCTTTTGGTCTTGAACGATAAGAATTGGTGGAGTCGTCTGAGTCTCGAGCCATCCGTCGTAGCCATGTACGGAGCTGTCGAGGCCGCCGGGGAGGTAGTGACACTTCTCGAGCTTCTTGTAGTACTCTCGCATCTTAGAAGCCTTTATGCCCCCTTGCTGTTAGCATTTTCCAAACATGGCTTAGGAATTCGTTTAATTCTTACCTCCCACGAGCTGTCACCAGTGATGGTGGCAATGTTGTTCCAGTCACTATCCTGAGGGAGAATGGTGACGAGAGCATTGTGCTTCGCAATTATCAGCCAACGGGATACCAGTCTAGACCGAGACAACTTACCTGGGAGCAACCACCAAGAGCACCAACTCGAGGATACAAGATTCCCAACTGCTCAGACCCTTGTGGTGGGTCGAGGCCAACATAGATCTCTCCATCCGGCTTTCGATAAGACATCTTGCTGTCTCTCTTGGCCTGTTCTGGATCAGAGTAGTGGTTGACGAAGAAATCCCATGCGATCGGCTGATGTTGAGAAGCCAGAACGTGGAGAGCCGGCACCTGGACGGCCGGGTCCTCTCCACGGTCCTCACCGGCGTCGATGAGTAGGACACTGAAGCCGGCCATGGCTAGGCGGGCTGCAAGGGGAGCACCGCCGGGCCCGGAGCCGACTACGACGTAGTCATACGTCGAGTTGGCTGAAGGTCCCGTGGCATTGAGTGTCGGACCAAGAGGTTGGTCGAAGCTACTGTGTGTAAGCCAACGAGTCACACGACAAGTGTGTAAGTAATGACTAAGACTAGGTATGAGAACTTACGCCGCATGAGCAGTCGCGAAAAGCGCCGCAACGGAGAGAAGGAACTTCATGGTAACCTCCAGTGAAGCTAATTAGAATGCAACCGAAAGCAAAAACACGATCAAATGAGTGACTGGCCGGCGAGTTTGTTGAGATGCAAAGGAATGACAACTGCTAAATGGCTAAGAGTTGGTGGAACGAAGACAGAAGAAGCGACTTAAAAAGTCATACCCCAAATGTTAAGTATGGATTCATGAGAATGCTCCTTTTCGGACTCATTTCGAACGCAACTCCACTGATTGGCGATGCTGATGTGATGAGAGGCATCATCTCCCGCGAAGCCGGCATGCTCACGAAGGGGGGCATCAAAGTGAGACATGGGGGAAAAGATGCTTTGATCTGCCAGTTTCCTTTCCTAACTCGAGGCGGCATTGGCGCCGATGACGATCGGGATGCCTGTCAAAGACTTGACAAGGGTCGTAGACGAAATGAAAGAAAACATGGGTCCTGTCAAAAACGTCAGAACACCACCCCCGGATCCTGCTCCGCCAAGGGGAAAAAATTGCTGCCCACGCCAATGGAGCTCGACAGACTACGACAAAGCAACAGAGCAAACATGGCAAAACCTTGCCGAGACTCGAGAGAACGAAATCCGACGTGGATAGATCCACAGTCAGGGGTCACGGATTGAGAAATGATAGCCCTACACATGGCTCCATTGTCCGAACGCTCTTTGGATGACGGGATGGAGATTCTAGAGGGGCCCATTGCTTCGGTGCCATTACGATTCACGCAACGAACGACAGACGGAAGACAGACTGGAGTCAGAACAGACAGATCAGGCGCCCAAGCATTTACCGCCTCCTTGTTGTCGGGTTGGCCCCGGTCTGAAGAACCGTTGATCTCACTCTTACTGCCGTTGCAGTGCATATACAGAATACTAGGAATAACGAAAAGCATGTTAGCGATCCCCTGCGGTTCATTGGCCACTCAAGAACCCCTCCCCTCTCCCCCATCGTGACAATTTAATCGCTTTGGGATTGAGCTCAACGGTTTATACGTCGACAGGCCAGAGATGGAGAGATGAAGAGATTTTGGCTTTACGTAGCCAACTGCCGCCGCTAAGAAATCGGACCACTCTTTCGGAAAGTTTTCTCGTAAGTTTGCTTGTCGAGGACTCTAGCGAACCGTTTATGACCGGCATCTGCATCCGGCGCAGGTCACATCCAAGTCTCCTCAGACTTCTTGCGGAATCTATCTTCCCAACTACACCAGGGGCTCGACGACGATCCAAAGCAAGATCGACAGCCCAAAAGCAACGCAGAAATGACTCGCCCACTCCAGAGTGACTCCAGAATGAAGAAATTAGGGATAGACTCCCAGCGAGAGACGAATCCGACAGCCAAGGATCACGGCAGATGCCGCCATCTACGAGACAAACCAGGGACACAGAGGAAGAACGGCGCGCAAGCCACGATATGAGGTTAAAAGTAACACCCCCTTCTTCCTCTTCTCTAAATCCGGTCTAGGGAAACTCCGTCTCTCTCTCGGCTACGATTTACATACTTGGAAAGGAAACCCGGAATCCCGCTTGCGACTTTCCCTTGCCCATCCGTTCCCACCTTCTCGTACGATATCCTCCTCCCTCACTATCACGGTCGCCATGAAGCTTTCAGGCATGTTGGCGGCCACGGCCACAGCCCTCGCGGCCTTCACCTCCACGGCCCAAGCCGCGACCTCAGCCGCGGAAGCGTTGGCCATGGCTCAGAAACTATACCCTGAATGCGCAGTAAGTAAAATAGTGGGCGGATCTCCCGCGCCTAGCGTCGAGACGGTGCGTTTTTGGGGCTGATCAGTGCGGCACGCCATCTTTTTTCGACTACAGCTCGTCTGTCTCACCAAGCTTGTCCCGACGTCGGGTTGCCAGCTCACGGACACTGCGTGTCTTTGCACCAACGAGGAGCTCAACGCCAACCTCTCCGTCTGCGTGTTGCAGGGATGTAACTACGAGGATGCCCTCAGTGAGTGTCTTTATCATGATGTTGCTCGAAGACCCGAATAAAGGGTCTCACTATCTCACACGGAACTTTTGACTGACTCGTTTTGATCCTGCGTCAGAAACCAAGAATGGCTCGGCGACCATGTGCGGGCTGCCTGTGCGAGATGACACGATGAAGTCTCCTCTCGTTGCGGGTGTAGGATTTGGCCTGGCTCTCATCGTTTACATCCTTCGCATGTGCTCTGCCCTGCCTGGATGCAACAGAGAACTCAGCTGGGACGACTGGACCATCACTGCTTGCGTTCTTCTGACGATCCCACCAACCGTCTTTGCCTTCGCACGTAGGTGCCCCGTCGACAAAAGTCATAGGTATCCCGTGTAAATAGAGACTGACTGTTGCAGTGTCTGCAAATGGTCTGGGAAAGGACATCTGGACTCTGCCCCTCAAGAACGTCGAGAACGTACTATTTGTAAGTAGTCTCGCCCATACCTCGTCCCAACAAAGAACAACGACTAACACCAACGTTCTCACCACAGTTCTACTTCCTCGGTGAACTCTTCTACTTCCTCGCCCAGGCGATGAACAAGGTCTCCATCCTCCTCTTCCTGCACCGCATCTTCCAGCACAACAGCCTCGGCAAGGCCATCTGGGTCACAATCGGCTTCACCCTAGCCTACGCCGCCGCCTTCTTCTTCGCCACGCTCTTCCAGTGCTGGCCCATCAACCACGCCTGGCTGCAGCTCGAGTCGGACCACCTAGGCCGCTGCAACAACATTCATCTCCAGGGGTGGTTGAGCGCTGCCTTTAACATCGCGCTGGATATCGTCATCCTGGCGCTCCCCTTGCATCAGCTCTACCAGCTGCAGATGCCCCTGAAGAAGAAGCTCATGGTCATGGTTGTATTCTCCATGGGTATATTGTAAGTCTCTCCCCCGTCCCAACTCCCCTCCTCTGCGTAGTCCACCATCTGCACCCCATCTCAATACGACGTGAGACTCACCGGCCCTTCACAGCGTCACCCTCGCCAGCGTAATCCGCCTCCGCACCCTCGTCGTCTTCGCAAACTCGACAAACATTACATACAACTACGTCGACGCCGCCTACTGGAGCACAATCGAGCTCTACGCTGGTATTATCACCGCCTCTTTACCAGCGGTCTACAAGTTTCTCTCCAGTGCCCTGTCCCAGAACGCCGCCTGGTCAGCCGTCAAGTCCAAGCTGTCCGGCGCGTCGTCGAGCTCGGGGGGTACCGGCAACTCGCACTCGGCGGTGGCGACTGGGTCTAGCGGCCTTAATCGTCGGCTTACGCCAAAGAGGTCTGAGGCTGAGTTTGTGCTGTTGACGGATGTGGAGAGCGGGAAGAGTCAGAGGTGGGATTAGATGGCAGGTGGCTTGGTAGCAAATAGTCTCACAGTAACATAATGGACATAAAAGTTTAACCTTCTTCTCTTATACGCGATGTATGAATTCCAAGAAGTATACCAGGTGAAAATCTTTACGAGGAGGATTCAAGGACACAGGAGTATGATCGCAGGTCCAACGACGTATAAAGACACCTCGAGGGCGTCCTCATTAGAGACTCGTCAGGCTTGCCAGATTGGGGGATCTGGACAACGTGTATCTCCCCCACACGACAGGCAGCCGGACTGAAACTCCGTATGATCTCGATGATCTTAACGACCTAAGTAAGGGTACGTTCTTGTGAAGGCAGAAGGCGAACATATACGTAGCCTTGCCCATCAGTGGAGGTAAACGCTCTCTGCGCATTCGTCCGTGAATAAGCAAGTGACAGAGGGCAGGCACTTGATAGAAACAAAGCATTCTTCAAACGACTACCCATGCGTTTTTTTAATGCCACTGGAAATGCCATCATAGGTAGCGCATAGTGCCTGAGCGCACGTAGTGGTCTCAGATACCCCAGATGTCTACCGGGCGTATGGCTGACAGGATCGGCATGATCTGCGGGCCTGCGCCCGGGGCGAAATCCCTCGAGAGCCTCTCTCTCTCTCTCTAAGTCTGAATTTACTTATAAGCACGTTGTAAATGAATTACCGTAGACCTCTCACACCCCCAGGTCTATGTCACATACTCCAGCCCAAATTCATCATCAAAATAAATCATAATGAAACTCCCCATCGCAGGCCTCCTACTCTCTCGCGCTTCAGCGCCCTTAACATACTGGAACGACCGCGATCAGACATTCGGAGCAACGCCGCCCAGAGTATTCGATAACCGATCCATTGAGATTCTCCAAGATGCGATAGCAGAGCCGAATGCCACCCGTGAAATATCGTTCCGCCCCTTTGAGGCATTCACAGGCAACGCTCCTTTACTCGGACCAGACGAATGGACATGGCGTACATTTCTGCCCTCCCTCTCCCACTAATCAGCGAGCGTGAACTAATATCTTTCTTCCAGGTGTAAATATATCCGATTTCAGTCTCCCCCACCTCGCCCAAAACACCACCTCGGAAAACCTAGGTCGAAACATCACAAACCCGCACTACATCGCGACCTCATACTCTCTCTCCTGGCCCCGCGGAGGGAACCTCTCAGCCGGCGGTCTCCGCGGCTCCGATTCCCCTTTTTGCGTAACATCCCTAGACGTCGAGTTCTTCCCCAACGTGACGAACCTCTGGACCGAGGAGACTAGCAACAGCACAGACTGCGAACCCGTCCTCGGCGAATCATGTCTCGACGCCCTCCGCCTCGAAGATAAAACCCTCACCACCAAAGGCTGCGACGGGAGAATGCCCTCGTGGAGGACGATTCCGGAGTGTAATGCCACGTTTGGGTGTGGTGCAGTGATTCATGGTGCTAGGACGAGTAATCTCAACCCCAACGTAACGAGGAACTCCACCTCGACGACGGGGGACCCGGTTACGAGTGGGAGTGAGATTTTGGGGTTCGGGAGCGGGTTGGTTGATGGCGGGGATGCGACGCAGACGTACCTAAATGCTTCGAACCGCGTGCAGATTCTTATTTTTAATACGTGGGTTGGGGAGGAGAGGTTTAATGTCAGATTGGCGAGGCCGAATGTTCATTGTATGAGGGTGAATTCGACTCGGGTTGCATCGAGTGCGGCGTTCGGCGAGGGTTCGTTGAGTTGGGGGGTCTTGCTGGTTGCTGCTATTGTGAACATGTCTGTGTCATTACTTTAGCTTGGGTAGAGATACGAGAGAACGAGGTGCAAATAAAGTCAAGCTGGTTGGCAAAGTGAGAAGCAAAGTTTGGCTGATGGTTCGCTATTCAAACTTCCCTTCGACATCCTGATCCTTCCTCCGAACTTTCTCAAGTTGACGTTTCCATTTGACTAGTAGATCTGAACGAAAAAGGAGCCATTGAAGACACCAAGCAGTGAGTAGAAAAGGGGCAAGATATAATAGATAATCCAAGATCGCAAAATACGAACTCCTTTCAGTGTCCACGACACAGACCCATCACCAAAACTCAACCCAAAAAGCCAAAAGAGTTCACCCCCCCGGTGGCGAGCTGGGGGCTACATCTCTGGCGCACAATCCGGGACTCGAACACGGGACCTCTGAGCCTTCACCGATTAGGCTGTTCGTGGACTCAAACCACTCCACCACCCAGCCAGTTTTGACCTGACCCCCCAAAGGGGGCGCCTGCTGGCTGGTGACAGGAATGGGATTGAGGGGGGGTATATAGCCTTCCCCGGGGCCGTGTTTGGGAAGGAAGGTACGGTGGTTAGGAAAGGGGGGTGCAGGTTTGCTCTTTCCCCTGATTCATACATCGCTAAGGAAGTCGCGTCTCTTGCATGAAACATGTACACACGGCTGTTGGTATTCACATCAGCAGGCCAGCCTTCGAAGCTCAATAATGTGGTATTGAACTGCGTATATATCGGTATGTAGAAGGAGGAAAAGAAGGGCGAAGACTTTTTATTCCCTCGAAGTGGAAGTAGGTGGTGAAAAGGCGGGTTTGCAACGGCCTATTCCAACCCCCTTTTTATCGTCATTATTCCAGCAACGGCTGTTATTCGAAAAGGCAGAGGGAAGCATTTACAAAGATATCCAATGACACATCACATTTACGACCACCATTCGCCGCCAATGTAAGTAGGTTATTACGCTACTCCGAGAAGGCGAGCCGCTGATACACGTCCGGCGCGGCCCTTACCATCAGCACCGGGGCCATCCGCATCCCCTGGTTCCGGTTCCGGCCAACCAACCCCGCACCGACCGTCCCCGAAACTCCCAGGCCGCGGTCCTCACGAACCACAAACAAATATCCTTCGCCGCCGGATGTACTTACCTCCCTCACCTAGACAAGACCAGTCTGCCTCGCCCCAACTACCCTAAACTACAAATGACAAATAATGCAGCCAAGAAACCCCCATCATCCCAAGCAAAATCATCTCAAAGCGGATAGGGCATCAGCCTCAGCCTCAGTCACAACACACCCGAGACCGAAACCGAAACAAGACTCGAACGCTGGCAGCCGCAACGAATCTCCTTCCTCCTCTTCCGATTCCGAGATTGAAATACACATCCCCCAGCTACTAGAACCAGAACAGTGGTAACGCCGTCGTGATGTATCGATTTCGTAGTAGAAACCAGTGGAGAGCAGCCGTCACGAAGCCAACGCACATCAATAGCCCGTTCTATGGCTTCTGTTGGTAGTTCACAAAACAATTCAACCGACAGAGAACACCAAAGTCACCAAACAACAAATTGACGAATAATTATATATGCTAAACGCCAAACATCGACTGTATGAGCCATGCCAACCCGCCTTCGGACGAGACATTGACATGAATGCTTGAAATCCAGCCCCTCATCAGAGCCATTCTCATTCCGTGGGCCTGTGAGGGGGAGAAGGAGAATATGAGTGGCCTCCCAATCCAACAAAGGAGCCTCCCATCCAGCGGAGGAAATTAGACTACCCTTTGTCCAGAACGCCTGTGTGGCCCTTTCCACTCTCTTCCTTCGTCCGTGAGCCTTTTCTTCCCTGTTCGTTCCGTGTAGATCAAACATCCTGTAGTCGGTTGGTGCCGTACAAGTACACGAGGTTGTACCTCGTCGTCGTCTCTTCGTCCTATGTTCGTGGTCGTCGTCGCGGTCGACACAGGAACCCAGCCCGGACCGCTCGTATTACATCAAGTTGTTGCGTTGGGTACTGACTTGCCGTCTACATGACGGAACACTCGCCCTCTTGTTGCTTGCCGATCTTGCTGCGAGAAATACGCTCGCGCTGTCGGGGTCCGTTCTTGCCGGCGCGCTTGAGGTCTTCGAGCCGTTCGCGGGCCTTGGGGAAATCTTGGGCTGTGAAGACGGGTCAGTATACGTCATCACATGGAAACAATTACAACTTACCGGCTGCTCTCCAATACCATCGCTTTGCATCCTCCATGTTGGCCGGCACACCAATGCCCACCTCGGTAAAGTAACCCATTGCATACTCGGCCTTGGCCAGACCAGCTGTGGCAGCCTTGCGCGCCCACAGATAAGCCTCCGTGTCGCTCTGCTGCAAGACATTGTCGGTCCCGGTAAGATACCATCCACTGAGTGACAGCTCCGACTGGTGCTCGCCTTGCTGAGCTGCGCGGGAGTACCACATGATGGACTGGCGGGGGTCAACGGGGCAGCCCATCAAACCATATTCGAATGCGCAGCCGAGACGATATTGTGAAAATTTGTAGCCGAGGTCGGCCGCCTGTCGGAACAGCGAGAAGGCATAAGCCTCGTCCTTGATGATAGCATCATTCGGAGCTGCAGATTCGTAGAGCAGACCTAACTCGTGCAATGCGTGGGGGTTCTCCGCGTCAGCTCGTTCAGCGGCTCTCTTAAGCCACCCAACAGCCTCACGAGGATTCTTCGGCTGGCCAAGAAGGCCCTTGAGCAAAATCATGCCGACCTTGTACATGGCTGGCGTGTCGCCGAGCGTGGCAGCTCTCTTGTACCATTGGATCGCCTTGAGAGGATCCTTTCTTGTGCCGCCGCCTTCTTCGTGACCAATCTCACAGCAGACTGCCGTTCTGTACGCCGCAGCCGCATGTCCGAGCTTAGCAGCCGACTGGTACAGTGTGAAGGCTTCCTTGTTATCAGGCTCCAGTCCAAACAACCCACGGCCTAGGCAGTCGGCATAGAAGAACATGGCCTCGGAATTCTGCGCACTCGACAGCTTCTTGAGAATCTTGTTTGCGTCAGCAAGATATCTCTCCCGGGCACGAGTCTTCATCTTCGGATCGGCAAGATTCGGGGCCAGAACGTCGGCCGCTTCTACCAGTCGCTTCGCCAGTCTCATGGCAGTCTCTTGATCATTCGGTGTTGACTTGACAACCTGGCGTAGACGTTCCAGCTCTTCCTGTGTGACAGGTGTTGTTTCTTGAAGCGAAGCCTTGCTTGGTTGCTGAGAAAGCATTTGCTGTTGCGGCGGAGGTGCGCCGCCAGGCCCGGCAGGAGGTGTCGGTACGTGTACGCCAGGAGCGCCGGCATAGTTGCGGACAGGCGCTGGCTTATCGTTCATATTGACCATGGAGTTAGGCATGTGGCCAGGTCGGACGGGAGCCGGATGAGATGGCAGAGAATCAGGGCCTCGATTAGGAGAAGGGCCTTGGGGAAGGCCAGGACGCCCCATCTGCGGGTTCTGTGGTTGGTCCCAGCCATTTGGCTCGTTGTACGCGTCCTGGTAGCCATTCCCCATTGGCGGCATCGGAGGAGCGTCGCCGGCCATCTCAAAGACAGCCTGCTGCGACTGTCGAAGATCTGGCTGCGATTTTGTTCGACTCATTTCCGGAACGCGCTTTGCGCCCGGCTGCGTGTGTTCGGCAATGCCTGGGCGCATGTGCTGCTCGAATGAACCGCGAGGAGCATGCGAGGGTGCCCCATTATACTCAGGAGCATCATGGTGACCGTAACTGTGGGCGCTCTGGTTGCTCATGCGAGAGGGCTGGTAATAGGCGTCGTAGACATCGCCGAATGACGCCCTAGTGTCTCGGTACCCGTCCTGATCACCTCCGAACTCCCCAGGTCCTCCAGGTCCTCCATACCCTCCATTCTGAGGTGGGAGCGGCTGCTGCTGCTGCGGCGGAGGCATCGGGTTTGGGGGATACATGCGCTGGGGTGGCGGCCGATTTCCTTGCGCCGTTGAAGGCCGAGGAGGAACACCACCACGTGGCGGGCCCCCTGGTCCGCCATATGTGTCCTGACGTGGCGGGGGCCCGCGCCGTTGTGCTTGGTCGTTGACTGGCATAGTCATACTCCTAGAAGGTGGGCCAAAGTCGTCTCTCGGAGGCCCTTGCTGGCCGTAGCCGTCTCCTCGGAAATCTTGTCCGTAACCCGGCTCAGGGCCGCGTCGCGGGTCGGGGTAACCGCGCGGCGGCGGCGCTCTGCCATTTGGAGCTCCACCAGGAGGGCGCTGCTGCATAGGTTGGGACGAGATGTCGATTCCAGCCATCTTGTTCAGAATCGCGTTCTCCGCATCAAGGTCCGTCTTACGGCTCTGCCCTGGAAATGATGGAAATGCGCCACCACTAAATCCCTGGGCGCCAGCAGGACTGATCGGCGCGTGTTCCTGCTGTCGAGGGCGATTTGCTAGCAAATGGTCAGCATACAAGGGCGCAAATGGCACACGCGCAACTCACCGGCTGGATCCGAATTGGCTGATCGCTCAAAAGGAGCGGGACGACCGCCCCGGCCCATGGGGAATCCTCCCCGGCCTGCAGGACCGGGACCGCCACCGCCACGAGGCGGGTATCCGCCGCGATTGCCATCTGCCGTCGGAGGACGTGCAATAGGGCCGCCTCTTCCCATTTGAGGCGGTCTTCCTCCTCTTGGCGGGCCATTAGGCCCTGGGCCGCCACCATAGTAATCCTGCGGCGGGTAGCCTTGGTTCGGCGGCGGACCTCTGCCATAGTTGGGGTCCTGGTACTGACCGCCATAGTTTTGGTCGTAGCCGCCGTCATCATAGTAGTCGTAGCCATATCCGTCCTGCTGGTAGTTGTCGTACTGCTGAGGAGGACCCCGCTGCGCGGGCGCTGGGCCGGGCCCGGGGCCAGGACGAGGCGCGGGAGGGCCACCGCCGTAAGGACGCTGACCCGGATATCCTGCCATCGTCTGCTATGCCACCACTTCTCGTGTCGGAATCGTGTCGTCGACTTTTCGAATTCAGTGGCGCAATGTGCGAGTTTCGGTCGGGT